TCTCAGTTGTCTCTAATACCAAGCGTTCCGGGATGCTACGCCCCTCCACCAACGCCCTTGAAGGACGCTGTATAAATGCAAGTTGCTGTTGTTGTAACAGTGGTTTCTATTATCCTTTCCTTTAATGTCCCCACTCTACTCATCCCAACATAATCATCCCACTTTCTCATAAAATTTGGTAAATGTCTTCTTTCATTCTTTAGTTATAATCTTAAATCCAGGCAGTCTTGAATTATCTGTCAGCTGTAGTTCCCCACCATTTCTCCTCCCAATCTTTTTGCTACCATAGCGCCCTCAATCATATCACCCCTAAATCGTCTCTGCTCCAATAGAAAGAACCCTAACTGGCTTCACAGCTATCTGCTCTCACCTCCATTATAAGGATACACTGCTATGGACTTTGTGCAGAATAGGCACTTGGCCCAATTTCAACTCAACTTCACCCAGTCTCAAACTTCAACCTGAATTCCAGCCTCAACCATGTTCCCTTTATTCTAGGAGACTGGAGCCCTCTATTGTGTATGTGAATTGCAAAGAGTGAAGCAGTGCTTATTATCTCAGTCCCACTTCAAATCCTGTACATCTCTGTTACTTACAGTAACACATGGTTCGGTCTCTTTCCGACTAAAGAGCCCGAGTTTTCCTAATCGTTGCTCATAGTTCATTCCTCTAGCATTGGGGAACATCCTCCTTGTTCTCTTCTACACGCCTCTGGGACCCGAGCAGTGCTTGTGTGTGGTGATGATGAGCACTGTGCGCAGTGTCCTGGGTAAGATCTGACCACAGCCTGAGCTAAAGCCAGAAGATGAACTGCAAGTGAAGCTGGTGCTGATGTACCACGCAGGGCAGGAATCGCTATGTCTCAACATGTGTAACGTGAAATTGTTTTCAGGAAAGATTCTTTGCACTGCAGTCAATGAGGAATTTTCTCCACCAGAAATGCTAGTACTGATAAGGTCAATTTACATGAAATGACTAATTAGCTGAGCCTTGACCGGTCCTATATGTTTTGCGAGGAGGAAATCACTACCATTGAGCTACGTAGGTGATTAGTCGCTTGTTACTTTCATTTGAGATTAGGTACTATTAGAACACCTCATTCATCTATTACCTAATAGTGTTAGAATTCCTTTCTCAAGGCAATGCTGGGAGAGAGAGCGGCAGAAATCTCCCCTGGGTGTGAGCAGGGGAGATGGGTGTGAGCAACAGTGATGGGTGTGAGCAGGGGAGATGGGTGTCAACAGGGGAAATAGGTGTGAGCAGGGGAGATGGGTGCGAGCAGGGGAGCTGGGTGTGAGCAGGGGAGCTGGGTGTGAGCAGGGGAGCTGGGTGTGAGCAGGGGAGATGGTTGCAGCCAGTCTGCACAGTTCACTTGCTGACAGAAGGTTAAATGTGGCTGATGCTGTGAGAGAGACTGTTGTGTACAGACAGACAGACCATCCCTGCTGACAGGCCGGGCTCTGCTCTGTGTATAATGAGGTGCTTTGCTCACCCCATTGGCTGATTGGTTTGTGTATCAGCCCAGATCTGCAAATATGTAAATCACGCTGAGATGCCCACATAAATTCTCGTGAGAAAAAACCGTCTGGAATAAAGGTCCCATCTGCCACCTCACTGCCACTTTGAAGCCCGGCTGACACATTGCCAAGCGCCGCTCACACAGAATGGGCTGATACACATTCAGACTGCGGGCAGACACTCGGGGGAGGTTTCAAAGCCTACAATAGCCACAGCCGGAGGAGAGACCCTCATTGTTCGGGAGTCCGGGACCTGGGGGGAAGGAGAAGGATGGGAATTCTCAGGAGCAGGCTGGCACGGTTTGCTGTTTAAAACAAACACATAGTTTAGCACCAGGCGCTCAGTTTGTGTGGGTGCAGATCTGCTGGCATTCAGCACACGTCTCTATCCTGCTCTCTGATATGTGTGAGTTCAGCACAGGCTGGGCTAATTGACGTGACTGAGTTGGACATGGTTATTATCCCCCTCACCCCCCCCCCCCCACCCCACGCCAGGTGCCTGGCAATAGGGATGAATGCCCAGTTACCTTACCACCAAAGCGTGGCATTGCCAGGCACAGCATTGCCGGAAGCTGTAAGGCAGCCATGCTCTGGAGCATGTTGCTGGGAGACTGGGACTCAGCTGTGAAAATTCCACTGTTTTATTATTAAGACTCAATGCCCTATTGACAGATCCTGGCGCTGTTGTAGCTTACTTCCCAGCCACCCAGTCACTCCACTTAACCCTCACGGATGGGAGATGAATTTTGGGACAGAAATTGTCTGCACAGAAGAGGCCATTTAGTCATTCAAGTCTGTGCCTGTTCTTCTTATTACAACCTTTTCAATGATCAATGTTACTGACATTACCGACGATCAGGTGAACAACGCCAACTGCAGCAGGACTCTGAACATGTAATATTTTGACCTCTCTCTTGTCTCAAGACCCTCCTCTTTGGTCACCTTCCTACCCTTACCCTCTCTGCCCTCCACTCTCCCTGATCCCAACTCCCTGCTCGAATCCAAATCCCTGACGATCCAGCACCTTAGGACATCCTCCCGATGTGAAAGTCTCTATACAAACGTAATTTGTTATTGTTGTTGTTGATTCAAAGCCTTATTCTTCAGGCCACGAGGCGGCTAAATTGGAAATTAAATTGGATCTGATTTCACAGTATGGGAACAAAGCTGGTGCTTGCCCCGCATGATCTGCCAGCACCTCGAGGGTTAACGGCTCACTGAAAGCATCTTTGGTTGCATGCCGGGGTTGTGGTTGCCACAGCAACAGAATAATGAAGAATCTCTCACTACGTAAAGGCAGACGTGCCTCCACCTCCTCCGCCAGTAACTGCTGGGAAATTAATAAACCCTACACTGTCTGCGGAGTGGGGTCAGCCGGTGTCTAACAGCAGCACTCACCCTCCCTCCTCCCTCACCAGCCTCTGTGTGAACAAAGGTTCTAATTCTCGGTTTAGCTCCAGGTTTACCTTCATGCCATTTGTTAGGTTTTCTTTTCCTTTCCGTGAGCAGGGCTCAGGTAAACATGGCATCCAATACCCAGGGCTGAGGTGCTGAAAGGGTTGATCTGATTGAAGTGTTCAAAATAATGAAGGGAATTGACATACCAGACCATGGACAACTCTAACCTCTGGTAGAGGGTCCAAAACATGAGGACGTGATCTTACACCTGGAGCTAAACCAACGGTTAGAATCTCTCTTCACACAGAGTGGAGGCCGCAGAGATTGTGGAGGGCACTGAGATTGCTCGACCAGAATCAATTGGGATGTTGAACAGAGAGAGATGAGAGAGAGAGGGAGAGATACTTGAGAATTAAGTATATTAAGCGATGCAGAGGAAAGGCAGATCAGCCATAAAACAACAAATTGCATTTATACAGCACCTTTCAAGTCGGGAGGATATCCCAAAGTGCTGAATAGTGAAAGGTTTGCACCCAAACTGGGGGTTCGAGTCAAGAGAGGTGGAGAGCAAGATATGATTCCAAATACTTTGGGACATTCTCGCAACGTGAGAGACGTTGTATAAATGTAATTCCGAAAACCGAATTCTAAATAAGCCAAGTTCTTCCTCTGGTCTGTGGTGCAAGCGGTTGGCAAGCCTGTGAGGCCACTGAACTCATCCTGAGCTACGTCCCACCTGCTCAGCAGCACCATTAGCTGATTCCATCAGCTCCCAAAAGGCAAACCATTAAACGGATTCCATGATGTGGGAATGGTCTTTGTGATAAAGTACCAGAGAGCCCCCAGTGGCCAGGAAAGCATCTCAGCATGGGGTGGAGGGTGGCGGCAAACAGACCAATTGCTGGTTGGCGCCAATGTGTCCGGGACGTGTCCAGGAAAGAGGATTCAGCAAACACGGCCACACACAGAGACATGAACCTGGAGCAGCAGCCGGGCATTCGTTGTCACTTGACTTTACATTTGATCCTCTCCCCGGATGTCCGGCTGCTCTAATTGACCCCCGTGGATCTGCACTGCACACCATCACGCACAGGGTCAGCAGTGGAAGAGTGTCAACCTTACAGGTTAACCCTTCCTCCACCATTTCCAGCTACGAATAAATATAATGTTCCCTGCGTTTGATATCGTACCTCATCACACGGTTGAGACGTCGCGAATATACCGTGAAGTAAAATCGACTGTGTATTTCATGAGCGAAACACAGCAGACAATGGCACACAGCGGTGTCCCACAAACAATCGTGGAATTGAGTGACCAAATTATAATTTTTTTTAATTTGAAGGGATTACTAAAACCTCAGAAAAGTGATCAACTAACAACCAATTTCCTACGTACTGCGAAGTATGTGGTGTAAGGAAATGTGGCGAAGGTCTTGTCCTGTCCGGGAATCATATATATAGATATAGATATAGATATTGTAACGCTACACTTTACGGTATATCCTGTGAACCACTTTGAGATGTCTCAATAACCCGAAGGTGATGAGGCACCGAGAGGCCAACGTGAAGGCGCTCTGAGTGCGGAGCTGCCGACACGTCCGAACCAAACTAAACCAAGTCCACAGCCATTCTCACTGCGAGTGTTCCTCCCGTTAAATTACATGCAAATCATTGTCTAAAATTTAAAATTATAAAACAAAAAAAAAGGACACCGACCGACACCGACCGCGGCAGGACTCGAACCTGCAATCTTCTGATCCGAAGTCAGACGCCTTATCCATTAGGCCACGCGGCCGCCGAGAGCATTGCCCTCCCCAGTGCCTAAAGCCTCCGCTCGGCCGCGTCTCTCTCTCTCTCTCTCTCTGCGCGCGCGGGACCCGACTGAGGGCGGCATTGGGCGGCCCGGCCCCCGCCCCGCCCCCACCCCGCCCCGCCCCCCCCCCCCCCCCCCCCCCCGCCCCGCCCCCCCCCCAGGCCCCGCCCACCCCCACCCCGGCCCCCCCCCGCCCCGCCCCCCCACCCCGCCCCCCCCGCCACCCCAGGCCCCGCCCCCCGCCCAGGCCCCGCCCCCTCCTGACCCACAGCGGCCATTAAAAAGGGGGAAAAGCCGAACAGTTTATTACTTATTTCCCAATTTCAGGTTCGCGGTGAAGCCGCGGGACAGCAGCGCGGGAGGTGAGGCCGAGACCCCCCACAGCCCCCCCACACCCCCACACAGCCCCCCCCCCCCACACAGCCCCCCCACACAGCCCCCCCCACAGCCCCCACAGCCCCCCCACACACAGCCCCCCCACAGCCCCCACAGCCCCCCACCCCCCCCCCACAGCCCCCCACACAGCCCCCCCCACACAGCCCCCCCCCCACAGCCCCCCCACAGCCCCCCCCCACACAGCCCCCACAGCCCCCCCCACAGCCCCCCATAGCCCCCCCCACAGCCCCCCCCACACAGCCCCCCACAGCCCCCCCACCACAGCCCCCCACAGCCCCCCCACAGCCCCCACAGCCCCCCACACAGCCCCCCACAGCCCCCCCCCCACAGCCCCCACACAGCCCCCCCACACCCCCCCACAGCCCCCCACAGCCCCCCACAGCCCCCCCCCACAGCCCCCCACAGCCCCCCCCACAGCCCCCCCACAGCCCCCCCCACACAGCCCCCCCACAGCCCCCCCCACAGCCCCCCCACAGCCCCCCCACAGCCCCCCCACAGCCCCCCCCCACACAGCCCCCCCCACAGCCCCCCCCACAGCCCCCCCCCACAGCCCCCCCACACAGCCCCCCCACAGCCCCCCCCCACAGCCCCCCCCACAGCCCCCCCCACAGCTCAGCCCCCACAGCCCCCCCACAGCCCCCACACAGCCCCCCCCCCACAGCCCCCCCCCCCACACAGCCCCCCCACACCGCCCCCCCCACACGCCCCCCCCCACAGCCCAGGCCCACCCCCCCCACAGCTCAGCCCCCAAAGACCCCCCCACACCCCCCACCACACAGCCCCTCACAGGAATCTCTCTCTCTGTGGGATTTCCACGTGTGTGGGGGTGGGACGTGTGGAAATCTCAGTTTGCTTTGATATTCTGAAGCACGGTTTCCACTTGTGTCAGACACGTGACTGACCCCAAAACATGCGGCGCTATCCACCTCCCCCCCCCCCCCCCCGACACAGGTACCCCTCCTCCCATTAACACTGACCGCCGCTGCCCCTCTACAGATGGTTGGATGACGAGGATGAAGCGTGCGTTATTGAAGCACAGACGCCCGGGAGTGACGCTGCCGCACTTGCGGGAGTCTATCACCGCGCTGAGCCAGGGCCCCTTCTCCACAGTGAGCTCCTCGCCGCCGGAATGTGCCGAGTCCAGGAAAAGCCGAGCGCGTGTGAACCCCCTGAACATCCAGATGTTGTCCCAGGTGTTGCACGAGCAGATCTTTGGCAGCTCCAAGCCACAGGCCACAGAGGAGGCCGTGCAGCAGAGCATTGAGCACCTCAAACACCACAGACTGTGGGACAAGGACATCTCGGTGCGGCCCCAGGTGGAGTTCCAGCTGCCCAAGATGTACGGCGACAACATCGAGGAGCACTTCCGGATCCTGGCCCAGAAGCAAAGCCTGAACTACCTGGAGGCAGCCAACCATCTCCTCGAATCCCAGCTGCCAGACATGCCGGCCAAGTGGAGCTGGGCACTGGGCTGGACACAGTATGGGCCGAATGGGGAAGCGAAGAGCGTGGAGTTCCCCGACGACAGAGCCCTGGTGTTTGACGTGGAGGTGTGCGTATCTGAAGGGCACTGCCCAACCCTCGCTGTGGCTGCCTCTCCAACTGGCTGGTGAGAAGAGAGAGCAAATAGCAGTCACTTCATAATAATATAATTCTTACATTTCATATAGCGCCTTTCACATCAGGAGCACGTATCAAAGTGCTTCATAGGATTTACAGTAACGTGTAATGGTGTTTTAGTGTAGGCAAACGCAGGTGCATGTCATCTCTAATTAATATCGTTCTGTAAAGTGCATTGAGATAATAATAATTCTAATTCTTACATTTGATATAGCACCTTATCACGTCGTTGAGACATCTCAAAAGCGCTTCACAGAAGTATACTGTAATATATACATTTTGTGGGCAAAACGCGGCAGCCAGTTGCGCACAGCAGTGTCCCACATGGAGTGACTGACCAATTTCATTTGGGTGATTGTTGGCCAGGACTTCCTTTGTACACTTATATATACTATAGTAATGTGCGAGAGATTGTTGGGTGCCGTGTTGCTAATGGAATTGTTTCCATGGTCCCATGAAGAATGGTTTCCATCATGTAAACTCCACTCTCTGCACCCCCGCCCCTCACCACCCCCCCTCGGGTGTAAACACTGGCATCTCTGCAGGTACTCCTGGTGCAGCAAGCGCTTGATCGAGCAGCGTTACACGTGGTCCAAGCAGTTGACCCTGGCTGACCTCATCCCACTGGAAACGTCTGCAAACTGCAGCCGCCTGGCGAAGGGCGAGTGGCCAGAGAGGCTGGTCGTCGGTCACAATGTCAGTTTTGACCGAGCACGCATCAAGGAACAATATCTGATTAAGGTGAGCTGAACTACCAGCAACGGAGGACTGTCACTGTGTCTCTGTTTCTCTCGCTGTCTTTCACTCTGTCTGTCTGTGTGTCTCTCTATCTCTTACTCTCTGTGTCTCTATCATCTATGTCTCTGTCTCTCTCTTTCACTCTCTCTGTCTTCCACTATGTCTATTTCACTCTCACTGTCTCTGTCACTGTCTTTGTTCTCTTTCTCCCAGTCTTTCTCTGTGTCTCTCCCCGTTGCTCCCCGCTGCTCAGGATACAGAGACGGCTGTTCTCTGCCTGCCCTGAGCCGCGGTGGCACAAATTAAGCCACGGTCACTCTTGCAGGGTACGAGACTGCGCTTCCTGGACACGCTGAGCCTGCACATGGCGATCGCAGGGTTGACGGGTTTCCAGCGCAGCCTGTGGATGGCCAGTAAGCAAGGCAAGAGGAGGGGGCTGCAGCAAGTCAAACAGCACGTTCAGCGCACCAACAGCCAGGCCAAGAAGCCAGGGGTAGGCATGAGATCAGCACTCTCCAACTTCATCCTCGTATGTGCACAGCAGCTTGCCGATCCCGATAATCTTTGAAGCCCTTCCAGACGTCCACAAGATGTAACTGCAAGATACTGTGATTCTCTGACGATGCTGTACACGATGACTGATGCCTGTCTCGCTCTCTGTTGCTGGCTGTGTGTTGCAGGTTAATGCCTGGGACTGGGTGAGTGTCAGCAGCATCAATAACCTGGCGGACGTCCATGCTCTGTACGTGGGGGGCAAACCCCTGGAGAAGGAGGCCCGAGAGGTTTTTGTCAAAGGAAACATGAAAGATGTCAGGCAGAACTTCCAGGTAACATTGAGAGAGAGAGAGTGTGTTACTGACACATGTGGCTTATGGTCTCCATGTAATTGATGTGTGATCACTATGTGAATAACCTGTTGCGTGTGATCTGCTTGTCACTGACCTGTGTTGTTTGGTACAGGAGCTGATGCAGTACTGTGCGCTGGACGTACAGGCAACACATCAGGTGTTCAGTGAGCAACTGCCGCTCTTCATGGAAAGGTGAGGCTTCACTTCCTCATCAGCCCACGCCAGCCTTCACTGCCAACAGGTGCAAATAACCCTCTTCCCCCTACCTGCCCCGCCTGGCACTTGGCAGACATGTTCCTGTCCTCAGCCAGCGTCCGCACTTGTTCCTTCCAGCAGGACTGACACTGAATAGAAATCGGGAGCAGGAGCCCCGGCTGACTGCTCCCCAACTCAAGGGGACCAATTGTGGCCTCATCAGAGATCAGTAGATGAGCACAGGCTAGCATGGGAGCTGGAGGTCAGTGGGTTAGCGGGCGAGGGTGGGGTGGACTGGGCTGGGGTGGGCTCCTGGTGTAACGCTGTCTGTGCCTGCTCCTTCCCCAGGTGCCCACACCCTGTGACCCTGGCTGGTATGCTGGAGATGGGCCAGTGCTACCTGCCTGTCAACCACAACTGGGAGCGTTACCAGGATGAGGCACAGGGCACGTATGAGGAACTGCAGCGAGAGATGAAGAAATCGCTGATGAACCTCGCTGACGAGGCCTGCCAGCTGCTGCATGGGGAGAGGTAACGGAGGTGGGCACTGTGTGTGGGAGAGGTAATGGGGGGCATGGAGCACTGCATGGGGAGGGGTAAAGAGGTCACGGTACCTGGGGAGAGGGGATGCCTGGGAAGGGGTAATGAAGTGGAGGCAAGCCTGTACCCTTTGTGCTGCTGGGTGTATTAGATGGTGTGACAGTGAGCTCCCTGTCATTGCTCAGGTACAAGGAGGACGCGTGGCTGTGGGACCTGGAGTGGGATGTGCAGGAGTTCCGACAGAAGAAGAGCGTGAGGAAGAAGAAGAAAGCTGCACAGGGTGTTGGTGAGGAGAGCCGTCTGAGCCAGCAGCACACAGGTCAGTGTGCCTCCCTGTGTCTTGCTCTCTGGAGTCTCACAGTCACTGCTGAGGCTAAGCTCCCAGACATGGGCAGGGTCTGTGGGGTGTGGTGATTACATTGTCGGAAACAACGCCCTTCAGGTGAGATGTTAAAACCAACCTCCCGTCTGTGCCTGTTCAGGGGAACATTGAAGATCCTGTGGCACCATTGGAAAAGAGCAGTGAGTTTCTCCTGATTTATTCTGACCAACAATCCCCAGATATGTAATAATAATAATAATTATAATCCTTGCATTTGATATAGGGCCTTATGTTACTAAGATGTCTCAAACACTTCTCAGGATTTACTGTGAAGTAGATTGACTGTATTTTGTAGGTAAAACACAGCAGCCACAAACAGCCAAGTCAAGAGTGCCCAATTTTATTTGGGGGGATTGTTGGCCAAGACACAGGGAGAGAGAGAGAAACTCACTTCTCTTTTCCAACAGGGCCACAGGATCTGTAACGACCACCTGAACAGGCACACGGGGAGCTCGGTTTAACATCCTATCCGAAGGATGGAATAAATTGGTCAGTCAACTTGTGGCTATATGTGAAACCTTGCTGTGTGCCCAATAGTTGCCTGTAAATACACTCACGGAACTGTAATTACAGTTTCAATTCAGCACACTTCAGAAATGCACGTTGTTTCCTGTCTGATCAGCCGACCCTGACAGAGACCCAGGCCCCCCCTCGGAGGACGCGGAGACCCAACCCCCGCCGAGCACCGTTTGCCTGGAGGGCTTGAGCGAGACAGTCCGTCTGCTCCCAAAGAGAAGGCAGCACCTTCCCGGCCACCCAGGGTGAGTGGTCACTGAACAGAGCTTTACTTTGCCAGGAATCCTGAGGACAGTTCCAGGGTGGCGGTCAGGAAGTGAATTTGTCTCTGAATGTTTCACAGGGCGAAACGTTAGGCAAGTTTCATTACTCCACACGCCTCTGTTTAACTAGCGGTATGTAGCAACCCAGTTGTTAGTCAATTGGCAGATTGATTTTCCGGGGGTAATAATACCTCCAAAAAATGTTTATAAAAATAACATAATATATTGGTCATTCAGTCGACGACTCGTGTGGGACGCTGCCTTGCAAAATTGACTGCCATGTTTAGCCCACAAGATATACAGTCAATTCACTTTACAGTATATCCTGTGAAGCGCTTTGATGTCTCGAAGACATGATAAGGCGCTGGCTCAAAAGCAAGGATTATTATTCTTGTGGGATGTCCTTGCTGTAAATTTGTTATGATCAAATAATCCTGTGGATTATTGTGAAATGTAAACATTTGAAAGCTTCAGTTCAAGAAATTTGAAGTTTAGTTTGTTTCCCTCCAGTTTTCCTGTTGTATAATTACAGTTCGGTGTCGCTCGGTCCCTACGGTCCCGGCTGTCCAGTGATGCTCTGCTCTTCTCCGCTCTCTCACAGCTGGTATAGGAAGCTGTGTCCTCGCCTGCAGGATGTGGCCTGGACACCGGGGCCCAGCCTGATCACCCTGCAGATGCGGCTCACTCCCAAACTGATGCGTTTGGCCTGGGACGGCTTCCCACTGCACTACTCTGACAGCCATGGCTGGGGTTACCTCGTGCCGGGGAGACAGGACAACCTGGGAACCACCTCCAGCAGCCCTGACCAGGCCTGCTGCCCACATAGGTACCAGCTCGGCATGTTACCCCTTCAACCACACCACCCGCCTGACCCCCACCCCCACCAGCCCCCCACCCCTCGCCTGCCACACACACAACTCTGCCCCACACACCCAGCCTCGACCAGCCATACTGCCCACATGGGTGCTAGCTCACCACATCCCTCCTTACACCCGCCCCCAAACAGACCGGTGCCCACCCCCACACCCCACCCCACACTGACCAGATACACTAATAGTAGAGTGCAATGCTCTGGTTACTGTTACTGGTGATTCCACACACCTCACATTGACATACACAGGGCATCCAATCACTGGGCCAGACAGAAAACTCACTTGGGAACAGTACTGACCAGGTGCATTCTCTGTTTGTCTGTCAGGACTATCAAGCGGCTTTACCGGGAACATTGTCAGAGGAAAAGCCAGGAGCTGGAGCAGCAAGTGCCAGAGCGGATTCATAGCCAGGACATCCTGCTGACAGACAGCAACTTGTGGCAAATGGTGAGAAGTGCTCACAGAGGGTGTGTGGGCACATGGGTCCAGCCAGTCACAGCCTGGCCTCAGACACAGGGCCGGGTGGGGCTGAGCATTGAGCTGAGCTGTTTGTGTCGCTGCAGGTGGAGGAGGTCAGTCACTTGGAGATGGAGGAAATCGATGGACTTGTGGCCAGAGACCAGAGGCAACAACCAGAACAGGTGAGGCTTCAGCTTCATTGATTTAGAGACCAGGAGGGCAAGTGGGGCATTGGGGACGAGTGATGTGAATTCATGTGTTTCAGGATGAAGAAGACGAGATGGAAACGTCTGTCGAGGACACTCACCCTTCCCATCACCACGGCAACGGACCGTACAATGAGGTCAATATCCCGGGATGCTGGTTTTTCAGGCTTCCACATAAGGTACAGCGCAGTGTACCATGCCCCCCGCACCCAGTGTTGCTGTGTCCCCGGGTAGAGTGGGGGGAACAGATGAATGGGGGAGAACATGACTTTTTGGGTCATCAGGTTTCTTAACGTTTGCAATCCTGTAACTGCGTGAGAATATCCAAACCAGACTGAGTGTTCCACATACGTAAAAAACACTTACTTACACATGGGAATTTTCTTGTCTGGAATAGATGTGCACTCGCCCTGGAGGGACCCTTGCTGCAAACTAGTTCTGGAGAGTATGAGGTGCAGGTTGGCGAGAACCAAGCCTTGGGGACTCCAGAGTGTGTGTTGGGGCAGCTGCTGGAGTCTAACTAGCCAAACTACATATCTTGCTATTGAGAGCGCTGTCTGGCAAGCTCTCCCACTGCATGTCCAGCTCAGACCACTGTACCCATTAACAGCAGCTGAGTGGAAGGGTTCCCTGTCCCAGTGACTGGAATGCCCTTCCAGGTCCTGCCAATGAGCCAAGCTGGGCTGTGCTATCATCAGCAGTGCCCTGGAATACTGCGGACCTGCCTGGCTCAGGAACCGGACGAGAGACAGTCACAGAGAGAGCGGGTTCGAATTAGACATTCTGCTGCCAAGCATGTGACCTTTGAGCCAACACGACTCTGCCCATCTCCCCCAAGAAGGATGGTTATGGGAGAAGCTGAGAGAAACTGTTCTGTTTTCTGCTCAGGACGGAAATCACCATAATGTCGGGAGCCCTTTTGCCAAGGATTTCCTTTCTAAGATGGAGGATGGGACGTTGCAGGCCGACGCAGCAAACGCCACCAGAGCGCTGGAGATCAACAAGATGGTCTCCTTCTGGAGGAATGCCCAGAAGCGGGTCAGGTGATACAGCCCCTCATTTTCCCCCGCTCCCCTCCCCATCTCCTGACCCCCCCCCCCCACCTCCCCCTGGGGGCTGCCGCTCTGGGGATGTAGGAGAGAATTTTAACCCTGTCATCTGCTGCCTTCTTCACAGCTCCCAAATGGTGGTGATGCTGAGGAAAACCGAACTGCCCCGACTTGTGGCCAGGTACGGAGTGTGTGTGGGGGTGGGGGGGTGGGCAGGGGGTGGCTGAGAATGTGGCCTGAGATGTGCCAGTGGCTGGGCTAGAGGTGGAGCCTGGGGCTGGTGTGTTACTGCTGTAGGTGAGGTATCACTCTCTGTTGCAGACACCCTGAGTTTGATGATGAGAACAGCATCGGGGCCATCATTCCCCTGGTCATCACCGCCGGCACCGTGACACGCCGGGCAGTGGAGCCCACCTGGCTCACAGCCAGCAATGCTCGGGTATGTGCAGGCACGCGGGGTGGATTTGGTATACACACAGGCACACACACTGGGGCACACACACGGGCACACACACGGGTACACTGGGACACACGCACACATACGCACACGGACGTTGCCGTGGCTGAGCCGGGCTGACCTCCCCGCAGGCAGATCGTGTGGGCAGTGAGCTGAAGGCGATGGTGCAGGTGCCGCCCGGGTACCATCTGGTTGGAGCAGATGTGGACTCACAGGAGCTGTGGATTGCGGCTATACTGGGGGACGCTCAGAGCACAGGCATACACGGTAAGAGCGGGGCCGGGATTGTTTGGGATTGTACGGGAACGCTTAGAGATTAGTGATTAGGTGGGAGTATGGCTGACACCACTTTGTCCGCTGTGATAGGCTGCACCGCCTTCGGCTGGATGACGCTCCAGGGGAAAAGGAGTCGGAACACGGACCTGCACAGTGTGACCGCAGCGACCGTGGGCATCAGCCGGGAACACGCCAAGGTCTTCAACTACGCTCGCATCTACGGTGCCGGCCAGGCCTTCGCACAGAGGCTTCTCACACAGTTCAACCACCGCCTCACACCCCAGCAAGCCGAGGAGAAAGCACAGCGCTTGTACAGTGCCACCAAGGGAGTGCGCAGGTGAGTGTGAGTGCGCACAGGAGAGGCGTGAGACTTGTGGAGTATAAACACCGGCACTGACCTGTCTCCGGGCTGGCTCGCTTGGTGCATTTCCTGTATCAAAATGTTGTGTGTCCCAGGTACCTGCTGTCTGACGATGGGGAATGGCTGGTACAGGAGCTGGGTATCCAGGTGGACAGGGCGGAGGACGGCACCGTCTCGGCACAGGACGTTCGGAGGATCCGCAGGGAAGGAGCAAAAAGGTCCCGTTTCATTGCTGAATTTACACGGCGCTCAGTATCATTGTTGTGTTTGTGGGAAGTGTGTAAAATAATGGGATATCTACTCGCAGGGGCTCCTCTTTCCCCCGCCCCCTCCCCCCGGCTTGTATCACCCACAAAATGTCCGCAGTCAATTCACTTTACAGTATATTCTGTGAAGCGCTTTGAGACGTCTCCACAAAGTGGTGAAGTGCTGTAATCAAACAGAGGGATTATTATTATAATTCTGCATTGCGCTGCCCTCCTGTGGTCACTGGTAGGAACTGCAACATCTAAAGCAGCTGAGAGTTCTCAGGTCACATCTAATTCCACTCTGTGCAGTGTAACCGCACTATGTCAAATGCAGCATTATCATTATCAGTTGGTGACTGCCCTCCTCCCACTGACCTGAAGCTGACCAAGAAGTCATCACCCTGAAAGTAAAACTAGGATGTGAACAACCCTGGTGTGGTTGCTGCTTCTCTGATCACTTGCAGCGCTCCAAGACGCTATCCGGCGTGAAGCGCACTGTATAAATGCTAATTGTTGTTGCAGTGCGATAGGTTCCCGGTGACACCAAGGCTGCATTCAGTACTGGAGATGTCAGTCTACGCTTTCCAAAATACCCTAACGTGCTAAAATTGTACGTATCCAGTGTGACAGTCCCTCAGTCAGTTAGTCCATGTCCTGTTCATTTCCATCCGAAGCTTTGTGTGATTTCCAGCCTTTCCCTGTGCAGGTCCAGAGGTGTCCAATGGGATGTGGTGAAGCAGCGGCTCTGGTCTGGGGGCACCGAGTCCGAGATGTTCAACAAGCTGGAGAGCATTGCCACCTCTCTCTCCCCACACACCCCCGTGCTGGGCTGCTCTGTCAGCAGGGCACTGGAGCCTGCGGTGGTGGGAAATGAGGTATGTTTGAGTCCTGTTCCCACTCTTATTTCAGGTAAGTTACAAAGAATCTGATGGACAAGAACACGACAGTCAGACAAAGCTCCTGATCACACCTTCTCCGGGTTCACGCATGTGACAATTAAAATAGCAATTTTTCCATTTGATGCAGTGCCTTATTATGTCTTTGAAAGGTCTCAAATCGCTTCACAGAATATACTGTAAAGCAAATTCACTGTATATTTTTGGGGCAAAATGTGGCAGTCAATTGCGCACGGCAGCGTCCCACCAAGTTGTGGATTGAATGGCCCAGTTTTTTAAATAATATTGTATCTATAGATCTTCCAATCTTATCAGAAGTGCAATATGTGATCCATTGGGTGCAGCAGTTGCAGGAGTGGATGCACTGGAGCGGCAGTGACGCAGCACAGCAGCTACATGCCTAATCTGTCACTCTCTCCTCATAGTTTATGACGAGCCGAGTGAACTGGGTGGTGCAGAGCTCGGCCGTGGATTACCTGCACCTGATGTTGGTTTCGATGAAGTGGCTGTTTGAGGAGTTTGGCATTGACGGCCGGTTCTGTATCAGTATTCACGATGAGGTGCGATACTTGGTGACCAGCGAGGACCGCTATCGAGCTGCTCTGGCCCTGCAGATTACTAACCTGCTGACACGGTGAGACCTATAAAGGTTGATATCTTTTATTGTTGTTGTAATATTACTGCACTTGGCCTCAGTGCCCTGGGAGAGGGAGCTCGAGGATTATTTCCGCTGATCAGCAAGTCAGCAACATAGAAAAGGTAAGAAAGTCATAAAAAATTTAAAGGGAAGTTAGAAAAATCTCTACGCAAAGAGGGAGCAGAATGTGAATCCTCTATCACAGTTGTTATCAGATGGGATTGGTTACTTACTTGGCAAAAGTGGAATATTTTCACATATGGTGGGAGCGAATGAGTGAGATTTAGACCGATGACAACAGTAACGAGAGAGCGATGTACAATCAGCCTGTGCTTGTTTTAGCTGCATGTTTGCCTACAAGCTGGGAATGAGTGACCTGCCCCAGTCTGTGGCCTTCTTCAGTGCTGTGGATATCGACGTGTGTCTGAGGAAGGACGTGACGATGGATTGTGAGACTCCCTCCAACACCACTGGGCTGCAGAGACACTATGGCATCCCACCAGGTACAGCCACTGGGGAGTGGGGGAGTGGGGGAGGGAGAATACTGATACAGACACGGACTCAAGTAGATTCCAATTCAAGAATTCAATTTATTCTGGTAAATGTCAACACGCAACTCAAGTTTTAGCACTTTAACAGACGTGGTGCATTTTTCAATCTGGGACATATTATACAATCTATATTTTCTGTTTCAGGAGAAGCACTTGATATTTATCAAACCATTGAACAAACTGGTGGTTCTCTCAGCAAAAAGAAATGAAGACAAAGTGGGAAACGTGAGTGAGAGTGTCTGGAGCCCCGGAGGAGGGAACATTTTCAGTGTTGGGAGTGTCTGGCAGGGGGTTGGAGGTCTGTGGGGTTGGGGTTCGCTGGCACGGGGTAGGGGGAGAGATTGTCTGCGCATCTCTGCTGCTCCTTTGCTGGGACAGAGCAAAGTCTGGTACTGCTCGTTTCACCTCCTCTTCCTCTTCTTTTTTGGCTCTTGGTTTTCTCGGTTCTCCAGCTGCATGATATCCATTGAAAGAGGACAGTATTAATAAGATATTAATGCTTGTTGAATAAACTTCTAGTTTTGTTTAAATCAATTTGGTTCATTTGAAGACTCTGTTTCCTCTACCCCGCTGCTGCTGTGATTCCCTCAGAACCAGGGGCTTGCAGTGTAACATACCTGTTCCATCCACTTTACAGGAGATGTGCAGTACACCCTGTGTAGCTGTGGTGCTCAGTGACACGATCTCTGTACATTCTCTGCTTGTGAACCCAGGGGGAGAGGGAGTGAAAGAATGGAGCTGAATGATGTGAAGTGGGCAATTAGAGTATGTCACCTGCCTCAGGCTGTGAATTACACAGATCTTTACCTGATCACTTGGTTCTTCCTGGTCCTGGGTTTCCTGGTCCTGCAGTGCAGCATCCAGCGTGGCCGCATTAATGCGGAAATCCCGGGATGTACTGAGCTTCATGTACTGCATCAGATTCACCTGCACAGGATGTAGGAACATAGGAATAGGCCATTCAGCCCCTCGAGCCTGTTCTGCCATTCTATTAGATCATGGCTGATCTGTACCTCCACTTCAACGGGACGTACTGTTAGCTGGAGGCACTGGGAAGACTGGTATTGGTGATTGAACTGTGTAAACGATTCAACGTGTCTCACACACAGACATATAGAGGTGGCTACACTGGCCAGGATTCCTATCCTGATGAAAGCACTTCACACAGGGAGGGAAGAGCCGAGGAGAGAGGGCAGATTGTCTGACAGTTCACTCACAGCTGGTGAGTGCTGGTTGCTGTGCGGTCTCTCTGTGCAGACAGTACCACATTACCTTGGATTTCTTGGAGAGGTGAATGAGGAACTTCTCATACTGTTCGACAGCGAAGATCAGATTGGGGATCGGCTTGGTCTCACGCAACACCTTAGCCTGAGAACCGAAACAAGCGCGTTGTTAACACACTGAGTTCAATCCATAACATTAACTTACTTAGGCTCGAAGATGCACAATCCCTCACAGAGACAGACAACCAGCTCACAATCACACACACACAGCAAGACCCAGCTCTGGCATTCACTCAAATAAGGGTTTAAATGTCTGAAGAAAATCAAAACGTTTTAAGGTGAAGCATCACTGAGACACACTCTCACACTGGGCAGCACCACGGCAGCCAGGAAGTGGATACTGTTGTAGTCCCATTGAGGCTCCACCTGAGTGAGACACGCACCGTGGCAGCTGCAATAACGGCTCCTGTCTCCTTCTTGTCCTTTTTCTTGTCCACAGTTGCTCCCAAACTCCCCATTTCACTCTGGATATTCTGTCGAGAAAAACAGAGTCAGAGGAACCTCCTTTTTCCCCCCCCCAACCCCCCAGTTCCCAGTGTTTGCAGTTATAACGTCAACTCGAAATAAACCACATCAGACGCCAGGCTCAGGCAACTGCATTTGTAGGTTTACCTCTCACCTCAGGGAGCTGAGCTCACACTCTGGCCTGGGACGTCTTCCTGATGTGAAAGGCACTCTATAAATGTAATTTTGTTGTATTTTGTTGTTGACAACTTGCACGCTGCTCACTGCAGACAGAGGTGCAGGTCTTCAGCTGTGACATTAACCTGAGGTTCCAACCTCCTGTTCAGGCAGCGGTGTCCCAGCTACATGGGGAATTGGGAAAGTGCCCCTCCCTTGATTGGCTCTCGAGCCCCCTCCCCCCAGAATCGGGCCCATATTTTACATCCCAATCCCTCTCAGGGAGCCAGTCAGACACTGTTCAGGTGGATATTAAAGATCCTGTGACACCAAATGGAGCCGTTTCTCTCAGTCGCCTGGCCAACGATTCACATCATGGCAGTTTGTGGGACGTTGCTCTGATCAGATTGGCTGCCACGTTTGCCTACAAAATATACAATCACTGGAATTCACAAGAATTACCTGTAAAGCTCTTTGAGACTCAGTGATGTAATAGGTGCTATCAAACTAACAAAATCAATTCTTGCACAAAGGATGCTACAGAAATACTGCGTAAATATTGTCTGAGTGGTTGATCAGTGGTTGATCCCTGGAGGGATACTGGCAGGAACATGACTTACCTGGACGTAGGTTATAAAGGCGTAGCAGTGTGGGGTCAGGTGGGACCCAGAGAGCTTTACCTGAGGGAACAGCAATCAGACACTTACTTTCTGCCCAGTGAATGGTGAGAAACGTGCAAAGCTCGGGACAGGCAGAGCTACGGGTGGGCGGGGGCTGAATGCGAGTCACTGTAGAACCTAAACACTGTTGCACACTCTCATACCCTGATGGCTGCTGCCTCCCTCCCTTCTTCTGCATCAGCTCTGCTGCTCACCTCTCTGAGGTTGTCCACAGGAAACGTCTCCGAGCTCCCCCATCGCTGGGTGTGATTGTGAATGTGTCCTCCCTCCCACGTCAAAGGTGCTGAATAAATGTAAGTGTTGTTGTTTGTAGAAACAATGCCATGTACTCACCAGCTTCTCAAACCTGGGAGAGAGATGAGCTGTGTGTCCGGTGTAACCTTGGATATACTGGGGGTGAGGGGGAAAGGGAGAGAAGGAAAAAAACGAAAGCTTTTATATATAATATATATATATATACACACACACAAAGAATATATGTTACAACGATGCCTCTTCCGGGGTGTGGGGACGGGACACACGGGGGGGACGGGACAATACACTGTATGGTGGGGCTGTCAGGGCACACACTGTAGTTGATTGTGAAGATTCACAAACCTCTTCCCTCTGAAAACTCACGCGAAACCCTTCCAGAAGTGAACTGAGTTCATTCCCAATTCAGGAGCTGAGCTGCTGGATGTGGATTACCCTGAGGTCAGGCCACTGCACCCCCACCCCCCCATCCCCTGTGTGGACTGAGCTGTACAGGGGAGGGCTGGGCCGGGCAGGGCTGAGCAGGGGAGGGCTGAGCAGAGCTGAGCAAGGCAGGGGTTCACACTCACATATTTTACGAGAGCCGTCAGGATGTTGTACATCTTAGCCAGTTCCTTCAGGAGAACGTCCACACAGGAGCCGGCCGGGATGGCCGTCTGCATCAGCTCATGAAACGCCGTCAACACTGTAGCCAGCTGCAGAATGGCGGCTTTCTCCACAGCCTCCTGGGCACTTGAGCACGGAGAGCCCTCCTCTGGCAGACAACAAGCCGATCAAACAGGGTGAGACATGGTCATCACTAACCTCCATCCCTCCCTTCCCCCACTCCTCACCCCTCCCTTTCCCCACTCCCTCCTTACCCTCTCTTCCCACCTGTCATTCCTCTGTCTGCTTCCAGCTGACCCTTCAGTTTGATAATCAGCCACTCAACCTCCTCCAGAACCTTAGCCACTTGTGACAAAACCAGGAGCTGCAGCAGAGAAAAGTATCAGTGACACTAACACCAGGAGCTCAGCGAATGACACCAGGAGCTCAGCGACTGAATCTGACACTTACCATCACAGTCGGAGCTGCTGTCTTGAGACTCACAATGGCAAAATGGGAGTGTTTCTCTATTTCCACTTCCTGAATAGAAGAGAGATATGGTTACCAAGCTGTGCACTGCACACCAGTGGGGGTGGGTCAGGGGTTATAAACTTGTCAGGTTTCCACATGTGTTTTTGTGTAGGTGGGGGGTGTATGGCATGTGTGCATGGTCTGTGTGTTTGGAGGGCGGAACAAAGCATATGCAGCAGGTGTGTGTGTGTAGGTGGGGGGGCGACGGGGGGGGGGTGGCATGGCATGTATGTGTGGTGTGTGTGTGTTAGGGGGGGCAGAACAGAGCAGGTGTAGTGTTTGTAAGGCTGGGCTGTATGGCTGGCTCTCGCCCTAACCATTTACACTGAGAGTCCATTACCTGGTCAATGTCCCCCAGGTGGCTGTGGATATCCTGAGACAGCTCCCGCAGCAGCCCCACCGGGCTCCTGTGCAACGTGTGCAGGCTGAACAGCAGGTTCATCAAACCTCGGCAGAACTGCACATCCTCTGCCAATAAAGCATCCCATTACTCCCCTGTGCCAGCCCCCACTCCACCCACCCAGCCACCCACCCTCCCAGTCTCCACGATCAGCCCCCACCTCCAATCCTCGCCATCCCCGCCCCCCCCACTCCCCCAGCTCTCTCAGCTGCAGTTTCTCTTACCCAGACTGCTCTCCTTACAGATCTTCTCCGTCCATGTTAACATCTGTGCAAACTGTCAACAGAGAAACAGCCAGGTTATACAGTGACAGCCTCACTCACACCCTAAACCAACAGTGTGCAGTGAGGGGCTTCCCCGGATAGATTCCCGCGGTTTAGGAAGCTGCCTTCATGTGGGAACAGACAGTGTCTCCTATGCTGTTGGTCGGCAGGTAGGTGCCTGAAGACCCCAGTAGGGCCGGGAGGAGGGAGCTGCCCCCAGCTGTGGGTAGACACAATACGATGCTCGTCTCCTCGCTGGCCTGACAATCACAGTAACGCTCGAAATCAGGGGTACATACCTGTTGAGATGCGCGATCCAATAGTCGCGAGAGTGTGGACAAGATATTCACTAACAGCTGTGCTTCCTTACTGTTAAACTCTTCCTCACTGCCACTCAGCTGGGTGGCCAGTGACCTCTGTGTGTGCGTGTGTGAGAGAGGGAGGCAGAGAAAGAGAAAAAGAATGTGAACAGAGAACGAGGAGGTCACACCATAACGACCACCAGGACTGACATGGAGTTCAGCCAATCTCAGTCATGCACATAATGATCCTTAAAAATAATAATTTGGTTACTCAATACACGACTGTTTGTGGGACGCTGCTGTGCACAATTGGCTGCCGCGTTTCACCCACAAAACATAGTCACTATACTTTACAATATATTGGGACGTTCTCCCGACGTGAAAGGCTCTACACAAATGTAATTTTGTTGTTGCATATTCTGTGAAGCGCTTTGAGACGGCTCGAAGATGTGATAGCACGCTGCATCAAATGCAAGGATTATTATTATATTTTATTTATTGACAAAATGTCTAAGTGTTTTCGAGATTTTGTTCTAGTGTAGTAACTAATTGTGGGCAACCACGGCAGCTATCGTGCATTCAGCCAGATCTACAAACAGCCGTGACATGAAGCATTGATCCAATCTGGGGCTGATCGGCCTGACACAGATATTCTTTGCCAATGAGGTCACAGGGCTTTTAAGATCCTCTGAAGCACCGGCAGATGAGACTGTGGTTTAACATCTCACAATGATGGCGCAGTGGCAATGCAGAGCTGCCCCAGCAGTGCCCTGCGATGCAGTGCCCTGCGATGCCAGCCTAGCCTGCCCTGGGAGCCGGAACCACACGCACACACTTCAGGCGATGCTGAGTGTGCGGCTCAGAACCCACCTGGAACTGCCGGATGTGGAAGGCGGTTTTGTCGGTGATGTTGACATTCTCCTGCTCCTCTCCCTCCTCACTCACGTCTGTAAACACATACTCGTTACTGTTACATTAGCACACTTCATCCCCAACATCTGAACAATCACCCGTCTGATTGCCCAGATGTTGGGAAGGAACATCCCAATGCCTTGGGACATCCCAACGTGAAAGGCGCTATACAAATGTAATTTTGTTGTTGTTGATCAAGAGGCTATAATCCTGTACAACCAGTGTATACGCCCGCGGTGAGGGGGATTCTCCGAGCTCACTAACCAATTGCGCTGAGGAATTGCTCCATCTTGTCCTGGTATCTGCTCTGCACAGTGTTAAATATGCGCAGTAACCCCTCCAAACACAGCAGCGAGATCGTCTTCCCTTTCTCTTTCTTTACGGATTCTTCCACCGCGGAGGGGATTGAGGTGTATCTCCAGAGCAGGACTCTGACAACAACAACAGAAAGCATCGGAGTCTCAGTGTCGCTCTTCGCAGTTACAGGGTTAATATTAATTTGTGTAAAGAAACCCGCTAACGTTGGCAGGAACGGGCGAGTGCTCACCGGGTCATGTCACAGAGATATTTAAAAACTTTCTCAGGTGATTGTCCGTCAGGTCCGTCCGCCTGCCCACTCTCCTCCACCTGCTGCACTTTCTGCAGAGCCATGCTGACCACGTAACGCTGGAATTCATTGCTGGAGCGCAGTACAGACAGGCTTTCCTCGTGGCTCTGAGTGTTATCTCTGAGGGAAGAAGGGGTGGAGGTTAGGGGGGTGAGGGTGGCCAAGGCACGGTCAAAGAGAAAGGTTTTGAGACGGGCTTTGAAGGAGGCACGGGTTCGAGTTCCAGAGGGTGGGAACAGTGTGGTGTAGAGAGATTTCGCAGGCAGACAGGTAACATTAGGAGAGCGGGTGCCAGCGGGTACCTGAAGAGGTTGGTCAGTAAGTGGGAGAGGAAGTGGAACGTGAGCAGGCTCCGGGGGGATTTCCAGCTCGAGGCAGGTTTGCCTTTGCCAGATTTCTCCTTCAATAACTCCCACAGCTTGTGGTGACGGTGGAAAAGGCTGAGAACATCCTGGAAGCGGTTTACACTGTAATCAGAACACAATAGCCAACATCAAATAAACAGCAGAAGAAAGGATGAGAGTTTATCACAGTGAAGGCCCCAGCGAGAGACACTGTACCTGTAATCGCCGATGGTGAAATTATACTCCATTAGGACCTCCAACACTCCCAGCACCAGCACAGCATAAAGGTGGTTTTTAACACCTACGTTGGTCCCTGAAGAAAAGTCTGCTGATTTGTCCTAAAAACACAGGAAAAGACTTGGATCAACGGGAGCTGGTAAAGCCACGGCCCGAATAGGATCCTTAGCCAAGGCCCGAAATTCCACCTGGGAATTCTGCTGCTCTTAAACTAAAAACAAACAACTTGCAGTTACAGAACGCCCTTCATTAGGACAGCGCTGGGAGGCTGCTCAGTGACAAGGGCCAAATTAACACTCAAATTAAGAATTTTTCACAATTCTGCATAATCTTAAGCTTTAAGACAAATGGTCACACAGCACTAAGTCTGTTTGGAGTTTTGAGCTCTGGAGTCTAGACAGGTTTAGCAGTTCATTAGAGAGCTCCTTTTACAAACATAACCATTAGATAATAATAATAATCCTTTCATTTGATACAGAGTCTTATCACGTCTTCGAGACGTCGCAAAGCACTTCACAGAATTTACTGTAAAGCAAATTAACTGTATATTTTGTGGGCAAAACGTGGCAGCCAATTGCACAAAAGCCAACAATCCTCCAGATAAACTGCTCCTTCATCTCATGGCTGTTGTCAGACTTTGCTGTGCGCAAAATAGGTGCTGCGTTCGCCTGCAAATGCACAATCACTACACTTGAGACACTGAAATTAGAGCATTATCATGATCTCGATGTTAATCTCCTCAGTCACTCTCCAAAGCTCAGTGACAGGAGAACCAGACCAAGTGAGAAGCGCTAAGCTGTGGGCAGTTACCAACTCAAAGTCCTCCAACTCGCTCTTCACCATGCGCAGGGTGATGGAGTCCAGCTGCTCCTCCAGCTCGTTCTGAAAGCTGCTGTCCGCATCATCATCATCAGCATCCTCATCGTCGTGGTGGGCGTTGGTGTGAGGGAGCGTCTGCCGACACCAGGCCAGACAGCTCTGTACACAGCTCAGAAGCTGCGCCTGTGACAAAGGAAGGAATACACCAGGTTTAATCTTTCTGATGAGATGTCCGTCTGCCTGATATTGAGGTCCACATGAAAGACCAACAACAATAATTTGCATTTATGGCACCCTCAAGCGGGATAGAGTCCCAAAGATCATGTGACACAGTTGGAAAAGGGACTTAGTTCTCCTTGTCGGTCCTGGCAAATAATTTTCCGGATTAATCGTCCATCCATCTCCTGGGTATTTGTGGGGCGTTGCAGTGCACCAATTGACTGCTGTGTTCGTCAACCAAACAGACCACACTCGACGGTAATTACCAACAAAGTGCTTTGGTCATATCGGCACTGTATCCTTTATGTCAAGGAGTCACTGCAACAAGTCGACTCAAACATGATACAAACTCTGACCAGTTTTAAGCTCGGCATCCCTTCCACTGTACAGGTGACACTGACAAACTCCTACCACAAGGAAAGCTCAGAATTCCACTTGCCCTCCCCTGAGCACAATGACAGACTGGACATCCTGACCTGCCTGGCTCCCTCTGATCAGACCAAGTCAGTGTGTGAGCTGGAGTTACCAGAGGCTCCTGCAGGTGGATGTGATCACCCTGGGCTGTGATACAGGCCTCCAGCTTGAGCGGCGGCAGCAGGTCCTCTCCCGGCTCGTAATACTGCTTCATCTGCAACAAAGAGAAGTCAGGTTAGTGTCTACACCAGCATGGGGGGGGGAGGGCGGGAGGGGATGACTGAAATGAGAGGGAACGTGAAGACCAGACGCTGGCAAGGATTGCTAACCAGGGTACCTGTGACAGCAGGGTGTGTAAGATGGTGTTTGCCAGCTGAGAGTTCCGCCGCAGAACGTCAAACAGACCCTAGAAAATACAAGACAATTCAGCAAAAGGGCAAAAAAGTACATCAACCTGACCCCAGCACAACAGGTCTTGCTCAGCAGGTCAGCACTGGAGAGCCCAGTGCACTGTGCATCTGGTAATTGTAATCCACAGGACATCGCTGTGTAGGGGGACGTTTACCTGGTATAGCATGAGTCTGACGTCGGCTTGCTGGCTGAGACACCGCCGGAGACTACCCAGGATCTCCAGGCACAGAGCCTCGTTCGCAGACGCATTGTAACGTGTGTGAACATCTACCTGCACCTGAGCAGAGAGACAGCACAAGGTTCTCAGCTTTGTTCACCCACCTAGCACTGCACATAGGAGCAACACTAAACAGCCAAAGGAACACAAACAACAGTGTGTAAGTGAGAGACAGCAGGTTACCTGACTGGCTGTGACAGACTGGGTGCACTGGCTGGAGGCCAGACTTCCCAACACCTTAAAGTTCTTCAGTAACAGCAGAAAACCAGCGACAGCAGACTTCCGAGAGTCCAAGTGACTAGAGAGAGAGAGAGAGAGAGAGGTTGATAGAGCGTAGACCCTGCAGTGAGTTTCACATATCTCCACAGGGATAACTACAAAGTGCATTAAAGATGATGCTATAAAATCCTTGTTTACAGAGTGCTGATGAGAATGTGACATTCTCTGTTGTTCAGATAGACTCCATCAATTCTATTAGATAGATGCTTGAAGAGGAAGAATATTAAAGGGTGTGGACTAACAGGCGGGGGCGAGTGGAGTCAGAATAAACGGCTCATGTGTAGACTTGCTGGGCCACACAGCCTATTGCTATGACAATGAGTGACTGTCTGGGAAGGGGGATGTGCTGGGCAGCTGAAGCCACTTGTATTTACCTGGAGAACATGGCTTTGCGTAGAACCAGGATCAAGGAATCTTTCATGGACATGCTGACCTTCAGCAGCGGCTTCAGGAAGGAGAACAGTCATTCAGATACAACACCCGTTTACAACAAAACAACAACTTGCATTGGTATAGCGCCCTTCATGCAGGGTAGGGTCCCAGAGAGCTTGACAGTGGCGGAGTCTGACCCCGAGCTAAGGGGTAGAGGGAGTGGGGAGGTGATATTAAGCACAACCAAAAAGGAAGGACTTTTTATGCCGGATTTGAAAGTGGGGAGGGAGAGGGGGCAAGGCAGAGGGATTGAGGGAGATAGTTCAGAGTTTCCACAACCACTTACAACTAACTGAGGTATTCGCACAAGGTAGGGTTCAGGAGATGCGGGTGGAGTAAATGTTTGGGAAGGGGGAGCTGCTGTCTTTACTCCAGGGAACAGTTACGGCATTTTGGGGGGGGTGGGGGGGGAGAGAAATGTAAGGTCTCAGGTATATTATGCGGCTCTGGTACTGAGGGTCGTGATGAGTGTAACAATCACACTGTATAACAACAGACACGAGGAGAGCTTTTACCCGTATGGCCTTCAGCAGCCCCTGCACCGTGCTGAGGGGCAGGTAGGACAGGTGGTCAAAGGCCTCGATGACCTTGGAGGAAGAGTCCAACAGAATGAGAGGGGCTGAGACCACAATGTCCGACAGCAGATCTGGCAGGACGCAAACAAAGCAACCGGTAAACAAGGACTGACTGCGGATTACTAACCATGTTACTTGCCTGATTAATGGCTATGATACCCAGTTACTTGCGTGGTTAGTAGCAATGTTACCCAGTTACTTGTCTGGTTAATGGTGTGTTACCTGGTTAGTGTCTATGTTACCCGGTTACTTACCTAGATAGTGGTTGATGGGTAAGGTGCTCCTAGTAACCACTCGGTTCAGAACCTGCTCTAGAATTTCGCTGCGGATTGGTTCATGCACCTAAATTAAAACACACCATTTCAGGCTGGACCTCAGACAGCAGCTAACCACACACTTGCTTATCTGCATTGGAGCCCAACTCAGGAGTGGCAGGGCTGTGTGTTGGGTGACGGGGAAAGATGCGGGTGTGTGGGCAAGGTGGGCAGGGTCAGCGCAGGGTACAGGCTAGGCTGTTCTGGGCTACAGCAAACCCTAACCTTGAACGTTTGCAGAAGGATTGCAGCTCCCAGGCGGCACGCTTGCTGAGACGGGGATCTTATACCATTTGTACTGGTCTCGGCAGCTTTCCCAAATGGACCCGCCTTCGGCCCAAAAGAGTCCATTAATATGAATCCCATCTGAACCAGCGCCTGAGTGACGTGGTCCCAACCAAACACACTAGAAACAGCAAAAAGGGAAACACTAAGAGCAGCTTCTCAATCAAAACTCCAACAACAGCGATCAAAGTTGACAAGGAGCTAATTATCTACCAGCACCAGTGGATATAATATCCTTGCATTTGATACAGCGCTTTATCACATCTTCGAGATGTCTCAAAGCGCTTCGCAGAATATACTGTAAAGGGAATTGACTGTATGTTTTGTGGACGAAACGTGGCAGCGAATTGCGCACAACAGCGCACAAACAGTCTAGAAGAATATGTAACTGAGGACAGACTAGCACTGAGACACCTCCTAAACAGCCTATCTCCTCGTCTCTGACATGTCTGTGCTTCCTGTGTCTGGCATGGCACAAGGCACAGAACTCAATAAACAGCAATTCTGTCAGAACTGAAAAATTAACACTCTTTAAAAGTGATCGAGACTAGCCTCTAGTAATGCGTAATGGAACTGTGAGACAAAGCTTAAACCTTTATGAAGTTTAAAAACGTCCGCACTTTGTTAGGAAAGTGACGCACTGCAGAAGCAAAGCCCTGACCTGTTTGCTACCGTCTCCAGTATCATGTCTGACACACTGCTCGGTGTCGGCATCAGATCCTGCAGGAAACGGGAATTCTGCTGAAACTGGCTGTCCTTCAGGCTCTTTATGATGGTTGCTTTTAGTAAGTCAAACACCTGGAGAGAAACAACACAAACATGTTAGGAATTGTCACTGACACATTTCACACTGCACTGTTCAACATTAGTACTGAACAGACTATGTTGTCTAAAACAACTAAATGTTAAACAAGATCCAACAATAATTGTAATAATCCCTGCATTTGATACAGCACCTTATCCCGTCTTCAAGATGACTCAAAGCGCTTCACAGATTATACCGTAAAATGAATTGACTGTGTATTTTGTAGGCAAATCCATTCTCAAATGCACCAGTATTCTGTCAACAGTGTGAGATCCATTCTCCTGGGGCTTTGCTGGTAAGTGTAACTTTAGTGTGTAACTTGTTGATGAGCAGCAGGTCACAGCTGCCACAAAGGACTAACCTGATCCTCAAACCGGTGTATGCGAGTCACAGAGAGGATCAGCGCCATGTTGAAGGAGCAGAGAAGCCGGCTGCTATCTCCTTGCTGACCAGCCTAAACCCAACACAAACACAAGGCAATTGAAGTGATCATTCTTAAACCAGACTAGTTATGTACGCTAACATACTGCGATCATGACAAACAGCACCGTCTACAATAACAAAAGGACAAAGCAGATATTAGTAACTTTACACAACTGTGGTTCTAACCATTGACTGCACAGATAACAGAATTACACACATAATTTAAACAAAAACCTACAAAAGTCTTCCTATGATTGAATGATAAAGTTGCCAACGGCAAACAGAAGCGTGGCTCAGACAGTCTCACCTTCAGACATTTGATGAGTTCACGGCCCAGGTCATGGTCTAGTTTGATAGCAAACACAATGTGGAGAATAACTGTTCCCTCCACATGTCGCAGCTGCTCCTGTGGCACTGTGGCAACTTCCAGCTCTGTAGACCTACAATACACACAAGGAAACGTGTCACACTGCGCTCATGAAGTAAGCAGCGCCTGTGCACAGGGGCCTCGCAGGATATTTAACATGCACCTGAACAAGCAGGTGGGACAAGCAGGCTAACATCTAACCTGATGGACAGCATCTCTGCAATCCAGTCTCCCCCAATAATGCAAGTGTCAGGCTAGACTGGGGGCTAAAGTCTCTGACCCAGAAGTGAGTGCTACCAGCTGAGCATTGTCTTGGGGTGGGGGGAGGGAAGAATTCAATGTGGGGTATAACTCACTCAGTGTCCATCTGCTCTTCTCTCTGCAGCTGATCTTGCTTGTTGAAGAAAATTATAATTCCTTCCAAAATCAGCTTCTTACAGCCCTGTGGGAGAGTGATACACAGACACAATCACTGCACCGGGACAGTCACACAGCCCTGACAGCAGCCAAGTTTCCGAAGCGTCCCAGAGCACTTGACAGTGTCAGAGCATGACACCAAGTCAGGATGAGGTGACGGTAGGCACAGTCGAAGAGAAAGGTCGTCAGGAACGATCTGAAGATGGGGAAGGAAGGGCAAGGCGGAGGGGATACAGCAAATTGATCCAAATAGTTCACAGCTGAAATTCCAGCCAATTGCTCCCCAAGATGGCCTTTAGATCTGAACACTGATTACCTGAATTAGTTATATCAAATTAATTTTCACACTGATTCTCGGTAAGTGCTCACACGTCTGTCTGTGCTTACCTTGGCCGAGAGGAGCAGTAGCTGGTAGACCAGAGGAGGTAGCTCTTGCAGCTCCAGTCTGGAGAACATCCTCAGCACTTTCTCCACAACAAACTGCAGTTCCTCCACACTCACTGGTACATCCCTGGCGAAAACAGAGCAGCCAGTGAACTCAAGCAGTGGCCTGGGACAGGAAGAAGTGACTGCACACAGTAACTTACAGCCGTGGTACGAGCCAGACAATGGGAACCAAGACTTGAGCACTTTCCTGCTCACTCCATCAGCTCCAGTCACACGCCCTTACCTGAACATTGACGCCAGGTGAATCACGCACTTTGGTTCCCATCTGGAATATAAACAGAAGACATCTCTGTAACATTTGTTTTGCTAAACGCCAAAAAGAAAAACAATGCACAGAAAAGCGAAACCAAAGTGATTGAAAATATAGAACTGGTACAGACTGACATCCAGTGCCACCTCACCTGCTGGAGCAAAGTGTGTTGATCAGCTGCTTCTTGTATTCCTCGCCGCTCAGCTGCCCTAGTGAGGCAAACGGGGACCATGAGACCTGTCTGACCGGCCCGGTGTCTTCAGCAGTCAATGTGTTTGCAAAGCAAAGGCAATCAGAGTAACATTACCTTTGCCGTACGCCAGGCTCTGTGCGGATGCCAGGGCAGTCAGGATGGTGGGGAAAAGCTCCAGGGATTTGCCATTGGCAATGCCGCCCCCTTTGATCGCATCCACGTAACAGCCTGCCAGCTCAGCGAGAGTGCCTCCCGGCAGCCGGTGTGCCTGTGACCAAAAGGACCCACATCAACCTCTGGTTATCCGTCAGCTCCTCACGTTACACCGTATGGTCATCTGCCGTGAGGCCAGGGCTGCAGCGCCCGGCACTGACCCAACCGCTTGTCCGGTATCTCCCACCATGTAACAAGCAACTAACGTCTAATCCACCTACCCCCCACCCTGCAACCCCCCCACCACCCGCTCCCCCCACCCACCCCGCTCCCCCGCCCCTACCCCACCCCCCGGGCTCGGGGTGGTGCTCTGCCACTGCCAAGGGCTCTGGGGCGCTATCCTCCTCTACATGAGGGGCAGCGCCTAAACGTGTCGCTGCTGTTTGTGTGTCGGGGACGTGGGGGCACCGCGCGGACCTCACCTCCAGCATCAGCGTCCCAGTAACATCAGCCGCCACCTCCGCCTGCAGGTCCCCCGACTCCAGCAGCTGCACACAGTGCCGGTACACGAGCAGCCGCTGACACGTGCCGTCCTCCCGCCCGCCCGGGGAAGCTACGGGAAAGAGACCGTGACCGAACGAACGAACGAGAGACGGGGGTTTGTCGGGACCCCCAAACCTCTCACGAATATGCCCTCCGTAACAGTGCCCGGAACGAGCAACGCGCCTCAAGCACTGACCTCTGAGGATGGCTCTGACCACGGTCCCGGTGTTGCTCCCTCTCAAGGCCTGGCGTGTGATCAGGGCCGCGAGCTGCAGTGAGAGAGCAAGCGGCCGTTACACGGACACCGACAGCCCCGCGCGCCGCGTCCCGCCGGTGCTGCTGGACAGAAACTGCCCTGGTCAAGGTCACCAATGACATCCCGACCCTCTGGGACCAGGGCTCCCTCTGCCTCCTCGTCCTATCGGCAGCATTCGATACGGTCGACCACTCTATCCTCCTCCACCGCTTGTCCTCCCACCTCTCAACCTTCAAGGCCCTGTCCTTGAGTGGTTTAGGTCGTACCTCTCCCACCGTCTTCACTTTTGTTTCCACGAATGGCTTTTCCTCCCCCCCCCCCCCCGCACTGTCTCGTGCGGTGTCCCTCAGGGCTCTGTCCTCGCTCCCTCCTCCCTCTCTGACCTACTATCCCCCCACTTACCTGCCCGTACCCTCCGTCCCTCCGGCTCCGGTCGGCCCCCATCCCCCGCCCCAACCGCCCGACCATCGGTGGCCTTCAGCCTCTCAGCCCCGAGGCTCTGGAACTCCATCCCCAGTGCCTTCGCCGCTTCCTCCCTTTCCTCCTTCAGGGCCGGTCTCAAGGCCTTTCTCTTCAGCCTTCAGCTCCGCTCTCGACTCTCTGCCCTCTCCTCACTCCCTCCCTCCCCTCCCTCCTCACCCCCTCCTCACCCCCTCCCCTCACCCCCTCCTCACTCCATCCCTCCCCTCACCCCCTCCCTCCCTCCCCTCCCTCCTCACCCCCCTCCCCTCACCCCCTCCACACTCCCTCCCTCCTCACCCCCTCCTCACTCCATCCCTCCCCTCACCCCCTCCCTCCCTCCCCTCCCCTCCTCGCCCCCTCCCTCTGACCATTCCCCCCCACTGCTCGGGTCCTGACCCAACTGTACAGCGCTTTGGGACGTCCTCCCGACGTGAAAGGCGCTCTATAAATGGACCTCGTTGTTGTTGTTGTTGTTGTTGTAGTGGTTACCTCTCTCTCTCCCATTCCCTCCAGACAGCGCCGCACTCCTTCCCGATCCTCTGCTCCCACACACGCCAACACCTCCCGGTCCCCCTGTGCCGGGGCCGGGCCCGGGCCGCCCGGGAGCGGCGGCTCCATACACCGACACTCACACGCGCGGGAAACAAACTCACGTGAACAACACGAAGCCGCACCGGATCCCGCGCCAGGAACCGACCGCGAGGCCACTGCGTCTGTGTGGGGCACCGACACCGACACGTCCCCCCCCTCCCCTCCCCCCCCCCGCAGGGCCCGGGCACCGGGAGCCGCTGCTGCAGCTCACGGCGACATCCCGTCCGCTCGGCCCCGGCGCCCGAGCACTTCTTCCGAGACGTCTGGGAGCGCTTCACACCGGCACTGCGGTCGGTCACCGGCACCGGGTACGGTGTGAGGGGGGGAAGGCGGCAGCTAATGACACACCGCGGCCGCCTCACCGGACAACGTCCCCCCCACCCGCTCCCAGGCCTCAGGCACCGGCTTTGACAGGTTTGTAGCCCAAAGGCCACCAAACACCAGCCCAAAAGTAGCCCAATGTGATGCGGCGCCTCCCGCGGGCGGTTTCCGTCAGTCACTTCCTAACTGTGTCCGGAGGGAAGACAAGATTCCCGCCCAACCCGCGCAAACCGCCCAACCCGCCTCACAACAACACTGGGATCCAAGTTCGCGCCAACACCGCTCTTCGGTTTGTGATTGGCTCAGTCTGATCTGACCTGTGATTGGCTCAGTCTGATCATGACCATGTTACTGATTGGGTTAAACGGCTGTCGCTCTCCGCAGCTCGCGGCCCGGACCCGCCCCCCTCCACACACACACTCCCGGGGCAGCGCCACCCCGCGGCCAAAGACAGCACAGCAGCCGCAGCCTCTGCGAAACAAGGGGCCTAAAGCGGCGCTGTGCCCCCACACGGGCCAGTGGCGCAATGGATAACGCGTCTGACTACGGATCAGAAGATTCTAGGTTCGACTCCTGGCTGGCTCGGCCGCTTTTACTGCCACACCCCCCCACCCACCGCGGGCAACAGCGCCACAACAACAACAACAAGTCATCATCACTACGTTTTCTTTTCAACAAATAAAAATAGAGTTCAGTTGTCATAGCAACTCAGGAGTCCCTGTTCTGCTGCAGTTTCCCCCCCCCCCCCCCCGGGTCAATCCCCCCCCGGGCAATCCCCCCCCCCCCCCCCCGGGGTCAATCCCCCCCCCCCCCGGGTCAATCCCCCCCCCCCCCCCCCCAGACGCCGCACAAGTGCAAGTTGCTGTTGTCGCCGTCGTCGCTGCTGTCGTCGTCGTCGTTGTCGCTGCCGTTGTTGTCGCCGTTGTTGCTGTTGTCGTCGTCGCTGCAGTTGTTGTTGTCGTTGCTGTTGGTCACTGACGCTCAGAGCGTAAACCCTGCGCTGCCCCCAGTGATGGGGTCTCCCTTCTGCAGTCGGAGGTTTACGGGGAAAGGTCCCTCAGTCTCTGTACAGAGGGTGTGACGTTCCTGGGGGGGAAGGTCCATCACCCGGTGATGTGCTTTGTGCTTTATTATCTTCAAGACGGAGCGACAGCAAAACGATTACAACAACAGGGCCCCACGTACACCAAACCCGGGCAGAGGAGGTCTGTGCGCTGCAGTCACGCGGGGATGAAATTGTGTTAATAAGAGTCTGGGACCGGATGGTGTGAGAAACGTAACCGTCAGAGAATGGTTCCCCCATCAGTGTTCGCTGTGCCACATGGACGCCCCCCAATTAAAAAAAAAAAATGCAAGACAGCGTAACAGTACACGTGTTTAATGCAAAGCCGACCGACAGCCGACTTCATTACATCTTACGACAAGAGGTTAAAAAAAAAACCACACAAAGCTACAGGACACCAGGAATGGCTCGCGGCAAATTCTACCTTCACAGCTCCCGCTCCAGCCTCCTCCTCCCTGAGCGAACCCCGGCCCCGACTTCAACAGCTTTGCACTCGTACAATAAGTAAACTTATCCCTCCCGCCCTCTTCCCTCTTAGAAATGTTTTGCTCCCATTCCCAGGGAGCGGGGGACCAGTAATAGGACGTAAATCAAGGCGCGTGTGTGTGTGTGTGTGTGTGTGTGAGAAGCAATCCCCCGCCCTCCAAAAATAGTTATATGGGGAGTCTGGGGAATCAACCTTGTGCTGTATAACCCACCCACGGAGCCCTGCTGTACTGCGAGCCCAGACAGAGACCACCCAACTGGACGTGGCTCTCTCCACTTGCCCCACTGGTTCCCATGGTCCTTCCGCACGTGGGTCCGTGCACATATGCACACACACACACACACACACTTACTGAGCACACAGGCGCGTGTTTGTACACCACTACCAGTGCGCTGTTTCCCCACTGAAATTCTGGCCGGGATCACAAAGCTTTCGCATACTCCTGTTGGAAACGATTCACTTTTACAATTGATTCACAATCCGTTTAGACGCCACAGCTGCTCTTTGAATCTACAATAATAATAATCCTTGCCTTTGGTATAGCACCTTATTACATCTTCGAGACGTCTCAAAAGAGCTTCACAGACTATACCGTAAAGTGAAATGACTGAATATGCTGTGGGCGAAACAACAGCCAATTGAGAACAGCAGTGTCCCACAAACAGTCGTGGATTGAGTGATCAAATTTTTTTGGAAGGATTATTCCTGGAAACCGATCCAACAGTCGATTAATGAGATTCCTACTTATTGTTCAGTAAACCGGATTATTAAAGGGTTTGGGGAGAGAACTCAGATGGTGGTGAACATCAGCACAGACGATCTCCTTGTGAGGAACCTCTCATTATTTGCCGTATATTTTGTGGGCGCAACGTGGCAGCCAATTGCAGACAGCAGCGTCCCACAAACAGTCGTGGATCCATTATTAGGAGTGACCAAATTATTATATATTTTTAATTTTTTTTAATGGATTATTACCCCCGGAAAGCGATCCACCATTCACCATAATGATCGGGTTCCTACTTACTGCTGGGTAAGCAGAGGCGTGTGGAGTAAGGAAACTTGCCTAAGGTTTCGCTCTGCCCAGGAATCTAGAAGAAATCCTGGTATTAAAAGCTCCTTTTGCTGCCGTTCAGTCGCGGTGATATTGTTCTGAGCCAACTGTGTATCCGAGTCTTTATCCCACTGGATTTTTCCGCACGTCAATGATTTCAGGATTGGAACTCAGGCTGGTTCTCCTGGGCAGTTTCTGGGATCTGTGTCCCGAGGGGAGAGTGCGCTGCGGTGGGGTGTCTGCAGGCGACAGGAGGCGGTTGCATGGAAGCTCTGTCAGCCCCAGCCCGCTCTCGGGGGGCGGCAGGGAGCAGCGAGGTCGGGGGCGAGGCAGCGGGGCAGCCTCTCTGGGGCGGGGGCTCCATTCAGCAGGGGCCAGCCCTGCAGCCTCTTGTGTTGAGATGTTTGTCTCCCGATCGTCCCTCACCTCCAGCGGCATCGCTTCCTCCCTCGCACCCAGGCCAGGCCCTGTCACACATTAGCACAGCGTCACTCAGCCCTGTTATACAGGGTGATCCCCGACCCCCCCCCCCCACCCCCATCCCACACATAGACAGCCCCCACCCACACACACAGACACACAGCACCCCCACAGACAGCGTCCCCACCCCAACATATACAGCGCCCCATCACACACACGCAGACAGCCCCCCACACACACGCAGACAGCAACCCCCACACCCCACCCCACCCCCACACAGACAGCCACCCCCACCGCTCCACCCACACGCAGACAGCCCCACACACATATACAGCCATGTTCTCCAGGTCCACGCACGTCAAATTAATAATAATAATAATCCTCGCATGTAATATAGCACCTCTTCAAGACGTTTCACAGAATATACTGTAATGCAAATTCACTGTATATTTTGTGGGCGAATTGCGACAGCCAATTGCACAGAGCAGCGTTCCATAAACAGCTGTAGGACTGAGTGACCAAATTATCATTTTTATTATATCATTATGAACCACTGCTGAATTTCCAGTCAAAAACAGTGAAGACAGGAGTGAGATTTAAAGTCAGAGCGATTGTTGGAATTCTGATCATATATTGATTAGGGAGTTACTGCTTCTGTGTCCCAGATCTCCGTCCACTACACCTGACCACACAGTTTAAAGCTACAACCCTCGATAGTCAATGGTTATCTGTGTAGAGTAGAATCAGACTTGACCTGAGAACCTCAGTGACCACAGGAGAGCAGCAGAACCATAATAATCCAGAATAAAAGTTCAGACGGAAGGCCATTGACCCGAAGCGTTAACTCACTTTCCTCTCTCCATAGATGCTGCCTGACCTTCTGCGTGTTCCCAACAACTTCTGTTTTTATTTATTATTATTCCCTCCGCTCAGAGGGCTCTGGTCTGCTCCATGTCTCCCACCCCACCCGCCCGCCCATCGGCGGCCGGGCTTTCGGCCTCTCTGCCCCCACACTCTGAAACTCCATCCCACAGTCCCTCGGCTTCGCTCCCTCTCTCGGCTCCTTCAGGGCACGACTCAAGCCCCTTCTTTTTGATCGTGTCTTCAGCCGCCCTCCTACCCCCTCTGCCCTCCCTCATCCCAACGCTGCCCCCCCCCCCACCCCCACTCTCGGGTCCTGATCCCAGACTGTTCATCATCTCGGGACGTCCTCCTGACGTGAAAGGCGCTTTACACATGTAATCACGTCTGAGCGACGTCTCAAAGCGCTTCACGGGATACGCTGTCGAGTGAATTGACTGTCTAACTTGTGGGTGAAGCGCGGTGCCGTTACCGTGGAGACGGAGCTGCGGGGGGTGGCTCCGCAGATAGCGGGAGACGTCCCGCAGTTTCAGGCTGAGCTCCTGGTGACTGTGTTTGTACCACAGCAGCTCCTGCTCCAGACCCTGGACACAAGCCTCGTACTGCCTCCGGCTCCCGGCCATTTCCTCATCCATCTGACCTGCAGCAGTGAGGGGTCAGTCACAGCGCAGCCAGAGCGCCTGACCCCGCCCCCAGCCTGGCCCCGCCCCTCCCCAGCCTGACCCCTCCCCTCCCCAGCCTGACCCCGCCCCTCCCCAGCCTGACCCCGCCCCTCCCCAGCCTGGCCCGCCCTCCCCACCTGGCCCCGCCCCTCCCCAGCCTGGCCCCGCCCCTCCCCAGCCTGGCCCGCCCCCCCAGCCTGACCCCGCCCGCCCCTCCCCCCTTGCCCCACCCTCTGGCCCCTCCCTCCCCTGGCCCCTCCCCTCTCCCCCTGGCCCCTCCCCTCCCCCTGGCCCCTCCCCCCAGGACCTGTGCAGTGCTGCAGGAGGAGCTGGAGATGGCTCTGATGCTCTCGTTGCTGCAGTGTCAGTCTGCGGTCAGTCTCCAGTCGCTGTCGCTCCAGCGCGGACTCCAGCCACTGGACCAGCCTCTGCTGCTCCTCCCCGCGGAGCTCCAGCTCCCCGAGCGTCAGCACCAGCCGGGCCTCCTCCTCCCGCAGCGTCACCACCTGCCACAGCACAGCGTCACACACAGCGTTACACACACAGCGTTACACACAGCGTTACACACAGCGTTACACACACAGCGTTACACACACAGCGTTACACACAGCGTTACACACACAGCGTTACACACACACAGCGTTACACACACAGCGTTACACACAGCGTTACACACACACAGCGTTACACAGACACAGCGTTACACACACACAGCGTTACACACACACACAGCGTTACACACACACACAGCGTTACACACACACAGCGTTACACACACACAGCGTTACACACACAGCGTTACACACACACACACACGCAGTGAGTATCAGCTGATGTGAACCTTGTCGAAGTACTTGCAGAGCAGTGCCCGGGTTTCGGAGGCCGAGAGGTAACTGAGCTTCGCCATGAGGTTCATCTCACACTGGGAGAGGGTGGCAGAGTCCTCCAGCACTCGCTGCCGCTGGGTGATCGCCTCATTCTTGTACTCAATCGCAGCGTCCAGAGCCTCAATAGCCTCGTCCAACTGTAACAGCATCCGCTCCTCCTGCGGGAGAAACACACTCACTGTGACACACACACACTCACCGTGACACACACTCACTGTGACACACACACTCACACTCAGTGTGACACACTCACACACACTCACTGTGACACACACACACTCACTGTGACACACACACTCACTGTGACACACACACACTCACTGTGACACACACACACTGTGACACACACACACTCACTGTGATACACACACTCACTCACCATGACACACTCTTACACACTCAGTGCGACACACTCACACACACTCACTGTGACACACTCACACACACTCACTGTGACACACTCACACACACTCACTGTGACACACTCACTGTGACACACACTCACTGTGACACACACACTCACTGTGATACACACACTCACTGTGATACACACACTCACTCACTGTGACACACTCTTACACACTCACTGTGACACACACACTCACTGTGACACACACTCACACTCACTGTGACACACTCTCACACTCACTGTGACACACACACACTCACTGTGACACACTCTTACACACTCACTGTGACACACACACACTCACCGTGACACACTCTTACACACTCACTGTGACACACACACACTCACCGTGACACACACTCACTGTGACACACACACACTCACCGTGACACACACTCACTGTGACACTCGCACACACTGACACACATGCTTCGCTCACTCCCTCTCACATAGAATTAGAGGCACAGAACCACAAATGTGCACATGTTAATGACCGTCTGTAACACGTTGTCACTGTCATCACATCCACACTGGAAAAGTGAGCCCCACTCCCACACTACACGCACTGTAACGTAGACCCCCCCACCCTGCCCCCAGCCCCGCACGGCCCCCACTCAGACCCTGGGGAAGCCTGACCTCTGCAGACAGCAGTGTCCCGAGCCGCAGTTTGTCCTCCAGCTCGCTGCGCTGCCTGACCAGCTGCTCCTTCTCGTGCCGCAGGCCGGCGATCTCCTGGCGGAGCCTCTGCTGCTCACTGGCACTGCCCCCCCGCAGCTGCCAGTCCTTCTCACACAGCTCCTGCTCCAGGCACTCGATCCGGCTCGATACCCGCTCCAGGTCACTGCTCAGGGCCTGCGGGAACAACAACACGCACAGCCACTTGCACACGCACAGCCACACGCACAGCCACTTGCACACGCACAGCCACACGCACAGCCACTCGCACAGCCACTTGCACACGCACAGCCACACGCACAGCCACTTGCACACGCACAGCCACACGCACAGCCACTTGCACACGCACAGCCACTTGCACACGCACAGCAACATGCAGCCACTTGCACACGCACAGCCACTTGCACACGCACAGCCACTTGCACACGCACAGTCACACGCACAGCCACTTGCACACGCACAGCCATTTGCACACGCACAGTCACACGCACAGCCACTTGCACACGCACAGCCACTTGCACACGCACAGCCACTTGCACACGCAGTCACACGCACAGCCACTTGCACACGCACAGCCACTTGCACACGCACAGCAACATGCAGCCACTTGCACACGCACAGTCACACGCAGCCACTTGCACACGCACAGCCACACGCACACGCACAGCCACACGCACACATGTGGGGCGTTGGCTTACCTGACTGCAACGCTGCCGCTTGCTCTCCAGGCCGCTCCGCTCCTGCAGTAGTGCCTCCTTCTTCTCGACGATGGTTTCTCGCTTCTTCAGCTCCTCTTCCAGATCCTCCAATGCCTTTCGCTGTTCCAGAACCTTCTCCATTTCTGTATCCAGCCACCGCCTCTGCTCCTCCATTTTCTACAGGAAAAATCCAGAGGTGGATTCGGGGAGGGTTTGTGTGTGTGAGTGTGTACAGGAGTGTGTGCATACGTAGGTGTGTACAGGTGTGTGTGCATACGTAGGTGTGTACAGGTGTGTGTGCATACGTAGGTGTGTACAGGTGTGAGTGTGCACTGGTGTGTGGCTGACCTGCTGCTCCTCCTGGCTGGTGCTGGTGCTGGTGCTGGTGACGGAGCCGGTGCTGCCACTCCGCCGTTGCCGCTGAAATGCTGCGATTTCCTCTGTTTTGATCTTGAGGATCTTCTGCTGTTGCTCTTGTTTGATTTCCAGCTCCTGAAAGATGAGCAGCAATGACTGACTTGGTGCCGGATTAAATGTGGACTTTTTTTAATGTCCTCGTGTCCTTCCCCAACACCCCCCCCCTCCCCCGCTCTCAGGACCCCCATTCCCCAGCCCAGAGCAGTGAGAGCTCCTCCTTCCAGCGACATCTCTCCCCCCAAGACAACTGCGGCACACAGTACACAGATCACCCCCCTCTCCGCGCCCCCAGCTGGGAGGTGCTGCCTTACACTCACACTCACACGCTCAGTGAACTGGTCAAACCAATGGCTACAGACGGGGATCCATTGGGAAACTAACAGCCGCTCATTACAATCTATAGTTTAGGGTACGTCATGTCAAGCGACTGCCAGGCCGGTGGGAGGTGATCTGGACGGACCTTGGTCCACTCTGTCCAGCTAATCATTATGTTTTGATGTTGGTAAGCGCTGGCCCAGCTTCCTGAGCCCGTCCCCCTCCCACCTTCACACGATGTTTTCCTCGCTGCATCTCGCACTCCATACGTCGCTTCTGGTCCGTCTCCTCCTTGAGCTTCCGCTGCAGCGCCGCCTGTCGCTCCCTCATCAGCCGCACGTTGCTCTCCATCTCCAGGATCCGCCTCTCGCTCTGCACCGAGAAGGACACCAGACGCTCCGTGTCCCGCTTCCGCCGGGTCAATGCCTGGAACACAGCCCAGGGTCAGCCCCACTGACCCCCATCACACAGTGACCAGCCCCACTGACCCCCACCACAGTGACCAGCCTCACTGACCCCCATCACACAGTGACCAGCCCCACTGACCCCCATCACACAGTGACCAGCCCCACTGACCCCCATCACACAGTGACCAGCCCCCACTGACCCCCTGGGGCTCAGCACCCAGTGTGGTTATTACGACAGCTGTAACTGGCTGCCCAGTGAGTGACCAGTGACTGACCTGCACTGCGCTGTGCACAGCGTTCACCTTCCTGCGGTATTCCTGCACTTTGCCCTTCTCCACCGGGTCCCTCGGTTGGTTCTCCTCCAGTTCCTGGAGCTGCTGCTGAGCCTCGGCCCCCTCTGCCCTCACCCTCTCTGCCTCCTGCTCGAGGCGGCTGATCGTGCGGCAGTATTGCTCGTTCATGGTCTCCGCTTCCCTCCCTGTGGGTGACAGGCAGTACTCAGTGTGTACATCAGGGGGCACTACACACACACACACACAATAATAATAATCCTTATTTGCAAAGCGCCTTAAAACGTTTTCTACAACAACAACTTGCATTTATATAGCGCCCTTCACACAGAGTAGCGTCCCAGAGCGCTTCACAGCGGCGGATTCTAACAATGAGCCAAGGGGAGAGTTTTCTAAACATCTCAAATCCCTTCCAAGGATATACTGTAAAGTGAATTGCCTGTATTTTGTGGACGAAATGTGGCAGCCAACGGTGCACAGCAGTGTCCCACAAACAGTTGTGGATTGAATGACCAAATTATTATTTCCTTTTTATCTTTTTGAAGGGATTATTAGCCCCAGAAATGATCCACTAGTCGACTAACAACTGGGTTCCTATTTATTGGTAGGTAAACAGCGGCGCGTGGAACTTGCCTAAGGTTTTGCCCCACCCGGGAATCAAACCCAGGTCCTCTCGCTTGCGAACGGGACTCGTTCTCTCACCTGTTTTCACCAATTCTTTGATGAGCTCCTCCTTCATGCGGATGTTGACGGCCAACTCCCTGACCTGGTGCTGGGCCTGAGCCAGTCTCCATTCCCAGCTCCTGAGCGAGGATCCCGACACGTCCTCACAGTCATCTGAGCCAGGGGAGCAGCCCCGAGCCCGCACTCCCCCCTCACACAGCCCTGCACAGCCACACAGTGTTAGCAACACCCCCTCACACAGCCCTGCACAGTCACACAGCGTCAGCCCCTCACAGAGTCCTGCCCCTCACGCAGTCACACAGTGTCAGCCCCTCACACAGCCCTGCACAGCCGCGGTCACGTCCTCACCCTCACTCTGCTCAGCCTCAGGGAGGTGCCTCTCAGTCCAGGTGTGATTCCTGCCGTGTCTGAAAGCAAAGACAAGGCAGGGAGTGAATGTCTGGCGCCGCAAGGTGTGGACACGGAGAGGATTACTGACATCTCTAATACATTCAGCTTCTCAACTTACAACAACTTGCCCCTCATGAGGGCAGTGTCCCAGAGTGTTACCCTGGAGCCCCTCGGCCCGGGCAGTGTACAGTGTTTGCCCACCTGCTGGACTCCAGTTTGCTGTCGGTCGCCTCCTCTGGTTGTGAGGTCCCACACTCAGCGTCGGTGTTGGAATCCACATGAAGCCCAGCCCCCTGGTCTCCTGGGGCCCCAAGCCCGGGCCCCGTGTCTGGGGGAGGCCACGTCTGGCGGGAAACAAACAGACAGTGAGTGTCGGGGGCAGTAACCAGTGGCTGCCGGCGGACACACAGTGTCTCACCGGCTCAGTGTGATCAGAGGGTCAGACACACACGGACACAAGGCTTTCCCCAGCGACGTCTGGCGCTGTGTCTATAACACATTGTTACTCGATCTCTTTACTACAGTGTCGAACGGAAGAGAGTACAAATCAGTAAGGGAGGGGGCAAGAGAGAGAGGGGAGAGGGAGGAGGCAAGAGAGAGAGGGGAGAGGGAGGAGAGAGAGAGGACAGTATTGAGTTGATTTGGGAGTCGAGGAGAGTTCACTGAGTTGCTGAACGCGGTGGAGACGGGTTGGACAGGAGGCCTGTGGCTCACATCATCACGGGGGCGAGGGCTGACCGCGGGGCCCCAGCTGCCGGCTGACAATCTGCTCTGTAACTGCACAATACAGTCCTGCTGATCCAACAGCTTCTCGTTCTGAAACACAAACGACAATAAATACCCGGGCACCAACACGCCCTGACCCTGGCCACTGTGTACCCCACCCCGTGTACCCGCTGCCCCCCGTGTACCCCACCCCGTGTACCCGCTGCCCCCTGTGTACCCCACCCCGTGTACCCGCTGGCCCCTGTGTACCCCACCCCGTGTACCCGCTGGCCCCTGTGTACCCCACCCCGTGTACCCGCTGCCCCCTGTGTACCCCCCCCGTGTACCCGCTGCCCCTGTACCCCACCCCGTGTACCCGCTGGCCCCTGTGTACCCCACCCCGTGTACCCGCTGCCCCCGTGTACCCCCCCTGTGTACCCGCTGCCCCTGTGTACCCCCCCCACCACGTGTACCTGCTGCCTGAACCTCTCCATCGCGTCCTCTAGAGCCGCCAGGAAGTCGCTGTTCTCCTCCTGCAGACGCTGCACTTGTGCCTCCAGCCTCGCAGGGTCAGTGGCAGCCTATACACACACAGCACTGCTCTGACACACACAGCAACACACTGACACAACAGTGCCGCACTGGCACACACAGCAACGCACTGACACACACAGCAACACACTGACACACACAGCAACACGCTGACACACACAGCAACACGCTGACACACACAGCACCGCACTGGCACACAGCGACACACTGACACACACAGCGACACACTGACACAACAGTGCCGCACTGGCACACACAGCAACGCACTGACACACACAGCAACACACTGACACACACAGCAACACGCTGACACACACAGCAACACGCTGACACACACAGCACCGCACTGGCACACAGCGACACACTGACACACACAGCGACACACTGACACACAGCGACACACTGACACACACAGCACTGCTCTGATACACACAGCAACACACTGACACACAGCGACACACTGACACACAGCGACACACTGACACACACAGCGACACACTGACACACAGCGACACACTGACACACACACAGCGACACACTGACACACACAGCGACACGCTGACACACACAGCGACACGCTGGACACACACAGCGACACGCTGGACACACACAGCGACACGCTGGACACACACAGCGACACGCTGACACACAGCAACACTGAGACACAGCACCGCACTGACACACTAACATGTGGCCTTGGCACAGCACAGCCTCCTACATACACTAACATACAGCAGCCACACGCAGGCCGGGCAGACACAGAGCTGGGATCTGACCCAATGTACTCACCGGCCTCTGCACAAGCGGTTTGTAAACCGTAATAACAACATCAAATGAGACTTCATCCAAAACTCAAAGTCTTTTTATAAAAGCTGAAACACTGAGAATTTTGGTAACTTTCAGCCCCGAGTCCCCTCCACCCCCACCCCATCTAATCTATATTGAATCCATCTGGTGGCTGAGCAATTTTCACCCACAAAATACACAGTCACTACACTTTACAGTATATGGTGTGAAGCGCTTTGAGACGTATGGAAGAGGTGATATATATATATGTCAAATATAAGGATTATTATTATGATTAATTACAGCACTTGGAGGTGGGGGGGGGGGTCAGTCTGGGCACTATACAGAACAATACCCACAGCTCCTGCACGCGCACCCCCCACCTCCCCCGGTTATTGTTGGCTTCCCAGGTAGTGTCGCTCCGAGCCCCGGTGTTTACCTGCCGCCGGCCGGGCTGGTCCCTGTGGAGTTGCCGAGCTCCAGTCTGGTCTCCGATGCCGCTGTCGGAGGTTGTGGACAGTCGGCCCTGCGCCTCCTCCACGGCAGACATCCACTCCCTGACCCTGAGCCCCTGCTCGGGCCCCAGGGTCCCGGCCTCTCGCAGCCCGGCCAGGAGACAGTGAGCGGCCGCCGTGCAGGAGCGGTAGTGATCGCTCTGTGCGTGTAGCCGGGCCAGATAGCCCTCACTGGGCTCTCGCCTTTCCGTCCTCTCCAGCGCTTGGCGGAGAACCTGCACCTGCCGTGCCAGCCCCCCTGGACCCTCGCCCTCCCCCTCGGCGCCATAGTTGATCACCGCTCGGTTGCGGATGTTGCGAGCGCGACTGGCGTAATTCAGCGAGTTCAGGCTCTCATCGAAGTTGAGCGCGGAGGGGCTGATACAGGCCACCATCAGGGTCCTGGCATTGCCGCCCAGCGAGTCCTTCAGGATGCGGGTGATCTTGGAATCGCGGTAAGGAATGTGGGCGCTCCGGCGCCTGGGATCACCCAGGGCACTAATCACGTTGCCCAGAGCCAGGAGGCCGCTGTTGATCTGGATGGATTCCTTCAGCCGCTCCCCAGCGTTCCCCGTCCGCACGATGCGCTCCGAGCCGGCCAAGTCCACAAAGTGGAATTTGGAGATTAGGAGTTTGGTGCCGAGCTCGGCGTTCCCATTGCTGTCTCCACTCCGGCCTCGCCCTTGGCCTCGCCGCTGCTCCATGGTCACCGTGAAGATTGAGTGGGAGCGGCTGGAGCGAGGGTTGACCAGAGTGGCTCCCGTGTGCTTGGCCGTGTTCCCCATCTCTAGCAAACTCAGCACCTCGTCCAGGCCCTCCACCTCACACTCCTTCACCCCACACAGCACTGCAACACAGCCAACCAGCAACACACCGTGACTGGGCAGGTCACACACACAAACCCCCACTCCACACACACACCCACACACACACTCCACACACACACACACCCACTCCACACACACACACACCCACTCCACACACACACACACACACACTCCACACACACACACACTCCACACACACACACACACACACACACACACACACACTCCACACACACACACACCCACTCCACACACACACACACACACACACACACTCCACACACACACACACCCACTCCACACACACACACACACACTCCACACACAAACCCCCACTCGACACACACACACTCCACACACACAACCCCCCACTCCACACACACACTGCGCACACACACACAAACCCCCACTCGACACACACACTCCATACACACATATGCACACCCTACAAACACACACACACACCCCAAACACACCCCACACATACACACCCACACACACAACCCCCCTTCCCCCTCCCCACACATACACATATACACACACACTCCCCCCCACCCCCCCCACACACACACATACACAGTCCCGCTCTGGCACTGGTCTCTCCACTCACCTGTGTTCCCTTTGTCATCTTCACGGATACGAATGTCTTTATTTGCCGTCTCCACCTCCAGCAGGTCCTTGAACTCCTCCTTATAGACCTCCAGGTATGAGACCCTGACAGTGTGGTCTCTCGCCTCATTCTCGTCAATCAGTTTAAACACCTCAGCCAGGGAGCGTGGGATTATCCCCTGGTCCTCCTCACTGACAGAGGCTGGCAAAGAGGCGAGGACATGTCAATGTGTGTCAGCTCCGTCTAGCAATGTGCTACTGAACTACAAGGGGTTAACACGAACACAAACATTTATATGGCCTAAGGACCGTCTCAAAGTGTTTCACAGAACGAAATTAATTAGAAATGAAGTGAGGGTTGTTTCGCAGCAGCAGAAACAGTGAGATGAACGACAAATTATTCAGAATATTTGGAGTGAATTTAAATGAGAGAATATAAAGCAAGGAAAAACTTTAACATGTGTATGAAAGGGACAGGGATGAACGCAACTGTTCACACAAGGCAGACCTCAGTTAAAACTCAAGCGAAAATGGATGATAATTAAATAAATAAAATTTGCGTATAATCTAGAAAGTTGTGAGTTTGACTGAAGCCTGCCTCACTTGGAGCCTGTCCTCGCAGACAGCTGGAGTCCAGCTCCAACACACAGAGCAATTTGCAACATCAATCAACAACAACAACTTGCACTTATACAGCACCTTCCACATAAGGTAGCGTCTCAGAGCGCTTTACAGTGGCGGAGCCTGACTCCGAGCCGGGAGGTGGCCGTAAGCACGATCGAAGAGGAAGGTTTTCAGGTGGGACTTAAAAAAGGGAAGAGCGGGGCCAAGGCAGAGAGATTGAGGGAGAGTATTGCAGAGTTTTGGGGCTCAGTGGCTGAAAGCGTGAGCTCTGATGATGGGGTGAAAGGTGTGGGAGACGAGCAGGATCCGGTGCCAGTCGAGCGGAGGCGCCAGGTGGTGGATTGGGGAGTGAGGAGATCGGAGAGGGAGGGAGGGGTCAGGGGGGTAAGGGATTTGAACACGAGAGTGAGGGTCTTGAAGTCGATGTGTTGGGTAATGGGGAGCCAATGGAGCCTGGGCCAGAGCTGGGGAGATGTGACAGGGTTTGGTCAGAGTCAGTATGTGGGCGGCAGAGTCTGAATGAGCTGATCTTGTGAATAGTGGGGATGGGGAGACGGCGAGGAGGGGTTTGGAGTAATCCAGGCGAGAGGTGACAAACACATACATGAGGGTTTCGGCTGCATTTAGGATAAAGGTACGGTTGGAGGTGGGCAATGTGTTGGAGATGGAAGACGCAGGATTCCTAATGCGCAACTATTAAAGCTTGGCTACGCGTTAGGGTGAGTGGCCGGGCAGCAGGTTAGGGCGAGAGGCTGGGAGTGTGTATGGCAGTGTGTGGCCATGTGGGCAGTGTATGGTATTGTGCTGTGTAGGAACGTACCAATGTTGGCCTCCCCGATGGTGTAGGTCTTGCCAGATCCCGTCTGCCCGTAGGCGAATACGGTGGCATTGAAGCCCTGGAAGAAGGCATGGACGAGGGACTCCACACAGGTGCTGTAGAGCTCCTCCTGGTTGGCATTCTGGTCAAGGACAACGTCAAAGGAGAAGCAGTGATCGTGTCCCAGGGTGAGGAGCCGGGAGTCGGAGGCCACATGCACACAGGACTGGTGTCCGTGCAGCGTCTCCTTGGGCAGCAGCGGACGCACACGCACGGCCACGCGCACTGGTGTCTCCTCAGCCTTGACCATACCGCTCGGCTTGGGCGTCATCCTCAGCGGTCACACGGCAGCACCGCCTTCACACGCGTGTGTGTCTGTGTGCAACACATTCAGAACTCTTTCCGGTCTCAACATCAACCAGAAAGCAGAATACTCACACACTGACACACACTCACACTGCGGCACACACACACATATACAGGGCACTGAGACACACACACACTCACACTGAGACACACACACACTCACACTGAGACACACACACAGGGCACTGAGACACACACACACACTGAGACACACACACACTCACACTGAGACACACACACATATACAGGGCAACACTCACACTGAGACACACACACAGGGCACTGAGACACACACACACACACTCACACTGAGACACACACACAGGGCACTGAGACACACACACACACACTCACACTGAGACACACACACTCACACTGACTCACACACACACTCACACTGACACACACACTCACACTGTCTGAGACACACACACTCACACTGTCTCACACACACACTCACACTGTCTGACACACACACACTCACACTGTCTGACACACACACTCACACTGACACACACACTCACACTGAGACACACACACTCACACTGACTCACACACACACTCACACTGAGACACTCACACTGACTCACCGACCCTCAGTTGCTGCGGCTTCAGACACGACCCGAAGAGACAGAGAGACGGAAGGCCGCGGCTGCAGCTCAGCCAGACCCCGCCCCCGAGCCCGGCCCCGCCCCCCCGGAGCCCGGCCCCGCCCCCGAGCCAGACCCCGCCCCCGGAGCCCGGCCCCGCCCCCAAGCCCGGCCCCGCCCCCCGAGCCCGGCCCCGCCCCCGGGAGCCAGACCCCGCCCCCCGAGCCCGGCCCCGCCCCCGGGAGCCAGGCCCCGCCCCCAAGCCCGGCCCCCCGAGCCCGGCCCCCCGAGCCCGGCCCCCCCGAGCCCGGCCCCGCCCCCCTAACCCGACCACGCCCCCGGGAGCCAGGCCCCGCCCCCGGGAGCCAGGCCCCGCCCCTGGAGCCAGGCCCCGCCCCCGGGAGCCAGGCCCCGCCCCCGGGAGCCAGGCCACGCCCTGGGGCGGGGCTCTCATTGAGAAACAGCTCAGCCCCGCCCTCTCACACACTGACCCACTCACATACACACAACCCTCACACACACTGACCCTCACGCACACACACACACACTGACCCTCACACACACACACACACTGACCCTCACACACTGACCCTCACACACACACACACGAACCCTCACACACACTGACCCTCACACACACACACACGAACCCTCACACACACTGACCCTCACGCACACACACACTGACCCTCACACACACACTGACCGTCACACAGTAACCCTCACACACACACACACTGACCCTCACACACACACACAGTGACCCTCTCTCACACACACGCACACACTGACCCTCAAACACGCTGCTCTGTCACATCCTCTGATTAAAACACAGGGCACCATAATGTCTCCTGTTTCTGTTACAAGGTTTTATTGTCAATTTACAGAATCTGAAACAAGTTTTTTATGTATTAACTTTGTAAACAATTTCAATCCACGTGTATAATTGCACCTTTCATGTCGGGGGGGAATGTCCCAAAGCGCTGGCCCGGGGTCTGGGTGCCTGGGGCTGGGCACGGGGTCTGGGTGCCAGGGGATGGGCACGGGGTCTGGGTGCCAGGGGCTGGGCACGGGGTCTGGGTGCCAGGGGATGGGTACGGGGTCTGGGTGCCAGGGGCTGGGCACGGGGTCTGGGTGCCAGGGGATGGGCACGGGGTCTGGGTGCCAGGGGCTGGGCCCGGGGTCTGGGTGCCAGGGGCTGGGCCCGGGGTCTGGGTGCCAGGGGCTGGGCACGGGGTCTGGGTGCCAGGGGCTGGGCACGGGGTCTGGGTGCCAGGGGCTGGGCACGGGGTCTGGGTGCCAGGGGCTGGGCACGGGGTCTGGGTGCCAGGGGCTGGGCACGGGGTCTGGGTGCCAGGGGCTGGGCACGGGGTCTGGGTGCCAGGGGCTGGGCACGGGGTCTGGGTGCCAGGGGCTGGGCCCGGGGTCTGGGTGCCTGGGGCTGGGCACGGGGTCTGGGTGCCTGGGGCTGGGCACGGGGTCTGGGTGCCAGGGGCTGGGCACGGGGTCTGGGTGCCAGGGGATGGGTACGGGGTCTGGGTGCCTGGGGCTGGGCACGGGGTCTGGGTGCCTGGGGCTGGGCACGGGGTCTGGGCCCGGGGTCTGGGTGCCTGGGGCTGGGCACGGGGTCTGGGCCCGGGGTCTGGGTGCCAGGGGCTGGACAAGGTGAGGTTCTGGGAAAGAACGAGTTAGAAGCATTGTGTGGGATGGGATGATCGCGGGGAGAATGTTCCTCCGGGTGTTGACCGGGTGAACGTGTCGGGATCCATGAGGAAGACTGCGATTTGTTGTTCAGTTTTCATTATACAACAAAATCACTAGTCTTCCACACTGAGCCAGACATCAGTCATCACAGCAGCCATAGTGACTGAACCGCTGACCTGGGATCCTTCGCCTTGCAGCCCTCCGAGACACAGCCACCACAGGCTGTGGTGACACCGTGAAACCATTGCCCTCTCGCCTGTCCAGCGACCCCGCGGTCCCGTGGCCGAGTGAGTGCGCGGTCGGTGTCAGCACCGGACGCGGCTGTGACTCTCCGGAGACAGACATTCCATCCCAAACACCGCCGGCAATCACACGTGGAGCTGTCAGTCCGGTTTGGGAGCACTCACGCACTGTGTGACAGGTTTCCGTGTGGGTCAGACCCCGGGGCACAGTCACCAACAGTCACCTCAGCTCCACTGAACACCGACAGAACCGGTGCCACGTGTTGGACTGTGTTGAGCGTTAGCGCTGCGCTGCACACGGGAACATCTCAGATACTCTCTGTCTCTCCACAGCTGAGCCGCAGCCCCGACTCGGTCTCCCCGCTATGAATTAAATGTAAATGAATATATTAAAAGCCACGGCTAACAGGGATGGATTAGCAGCCTTGCGTTAATGAAGGAAGGATCAATCCGGATGTGTCTGACATTTGGAAACGAGTTGAATTCAAATCACATAATTCCCAGGTTACTGCCACTTACTGTCAGTCACACACCATCGCTCCGAGCTTACAGCCCCCAACCCAGCCCTCGCCACCAGTGTATGGGCAGGGGGTGTCAGTGTGTGGGGAGGGGGCGTGAGATGGAGTCACTGTGTTCATAACACCTCAGGTCAACCACCCATTTACCTACAGCCACATCCCACAGTCATAGTGTGAACAAACAGCTGAGACACCAGGAGAAATTCCCCTCTTTCCCATAGCGGCTTAGATTTTGGAACATCTGCCTGAACACACAGACAGGACCTCGGTTTAACATCTCATCTGAAGGATGGCACCACTGACAATGAAGCCTCTCCCCCAGCGCTGACCTGGAGCATCAGCTTTGTACATACTGTGGGGCTGACTGATGGCAATTTATTCACGCAACGTCACAGGCTCCGGCATTGTGCAGCCGAGCAGGTGATAAGCAAGTATAATATGTTCAGGTGTTTGAAGGTTTAGTTTGAGTCCTGTTTTTAGATACGGGTTTTAATGTGGCCCTTTTGAGCATCACTGCTCCTGGCGTTACACTCAACAACAACAACTTGGATTTATATAGCGCCTTCCACGCCAGACACTGTCTCAGAGCTCACCTGAACTCACCTGACGTCATTGCTGACATTCAGCGCTGCTCTCACCAGTGAAGGGTTAACCCTGTGGTGTGAGGCTGGCGAGAGCAAGCCAGAGACAGGGAGCGTGTCAGATGAGTCATTCACAACATCCTGTGAATTTCCAGCAGCCAGAGGTCGATGGACAGGAAACCATAGTAACAAGTGGTTTTGCCAGGCAACACACCTTTCTATACCTCACAGCCTGTGAGCACCGCCCGCTCGCTTTCCCACATCAGGATGAATAATTCAATCCCAAATTCTGTACATGACAATTGGAGGCAGGAGACCGGAGCCAGCTCAGATACAGGCCATCAACAACAACAACTTGTATTTATGTAGTGCTCCACACACAGGGTAACGTCCCAGAGCGCTTGCCCCCTACCCCTGAGGCCCACTGCTTCCAGGGCAAGCAAGGAGCATGATATGGGGTATTTATGTCAAACACACAAGATAGAGGTAGAGAATGATACACTTTGTGTAGACTTGATCCATCAGTAACACATCCCTGTGCCCCCTCGGACAGTAACAGGTCTATTGTCTGTTCCATGGACAGTCCCCATGACAGCTCAAGGGAGAAGTTTCTCTCATATCCTTGAATCCTATTAATGTCCAGTAATTGTCTGGTTTCTCTAAACCCCTTTAGTTCCTTGTCCCACTCATGCGCTGCCCAGTCACTTTGCACAATCATGATTCTGCACATTCAGAAAGCAGAGAGGATTTATAAAATTTTATCAAACCCTTCCTGATGGTCATACATCTCGGTCAAGTCTCTCCTCAGATCTGTGTAAGAGAAGAGCTCCAGGGAGGCCAAGTAAGTAAATTCTAGAATTTCTAGAGTCAGCCTGCGCTCACTAGCTGCAATAACTGAACATTGTTCCTGAACTAGAGAGTGAAACAGCACTCAATGCTCCAGGTGTGGTCTGAACAAAACCTCATACAATTCAAAATCATCTCAATAGATTACCCTCTGAGCTAAACACTAACATTCACACATACACACAACGAGGCTTTGCATCCAGTACTCTCTCCCTCCCTCCACCCCACCCCACACACACACACACACATACACACGGTTTTACATCCAGCACTCCGCCCCACCCCACACACTCAAGTTTTACATCCAGTTCCTGACCCACATCACCCGACATTTGCTGCTGATATAGCTTTACTTTATTAAACATCAGCCGCCACCTTTCTGCCCACATCCCAGCCTTCTTCAAGTCTGAATCACATCACATTTCCATCCTTCTTCCAGTTTGGTGCCATTGTCAGAGAATGTCAGTAACTGACTGGGTTTAGTCGTGGTGACATTTTGGGCGTAAAGTTGAGAATGTTTTACAAATGGTCAGAAAATACACAAAAGGTTACATTGATTTTTCCTTCAGAAGCACCAAAAGCAAATAGATGTTAGTGGGCAGAACTCAAGTGTCATGAAGCTCACTGTCCTCACCCATATCGCGGAAATTATGGGATGTTGAGTATTATGGGATGTTGCATATTATGGGATGCTGGCGTAAGGGCCCTGGAAGGAGCTTAGTGCCAGCCTCGGGTGAGGTTACAGCGCTTGTTAGATGTTATTCCATCTTCTCGCAAAGACAAGAGTTCTCTCCCCCCAACCCCCTTACCCTGGCAGGGCTGAGATGTGTGAACAGCATTAATCCCCCCCCCACTCCCTCTCCAACAACAAGTACAGCCTTATCCTAAGTTGTATTTTCTTACCTGGACATTTCAGTCCAACCCATCTGCCCAGTGTCCCTCATCCATGGGTTTGGGTGATGATGATGACTTGATGATGAGCTGACAGAAAGAGAGTGAAGCACACACTACACAAGGAACCTTAACAAAGAGACCGGCTCCCAGACAGATATTTGTCCGTAATTAGAAACAGGACATGCGCTTGTACAAGAGGAAGGATCAAGTTAGTGAAACGGTGTCTGAGGTAAACTAGAAAGCACACAGTGATAATTACAGCTCGGAGCTGATGGCAGAATGCATCCAGACTAACCTTTACTCGGTGCAGACGGGGAGCCTGGCTATCAGGTGACCTCAGCTCCTACAGCCCGGCAGGTCTAGAGGAGACACTGGCCATCATTGTGCAGCGATAATCTGTTTATGCAGATAACTATCAAACCAGTGAGTGGGATTGAAAAGCGATGTGAGTGGAGGAGGAGGAGGAGGAGGCAGAAGGGAGACAGGCGCACGAGGACCAGAGGAAACAAAGCAAATGAGAGCAGAGCTGTTATTTAATAAAGAAAAGGTTTATGTTGTTACCTTGGAGACTGAACAGAAATGGTTATTGTTGAATCAATGCTAAAAATACGGCATGTTTAACCCTGTAACAGGAATATTTAACACTTTACTGTGCCACCAAAGCCGCGCGGGGAGGCTTCTGGGTACAAATCTTGCTCCACACTTTCTTCCCACTCTCACTATTTATTCTTACAATATCACCACATTTTTTAACAAAACAATTCTGAATAACATCGACAGGAACGGGCAGGAATCCTGTTAAAGTAAGATAATTCTCCCCCTCCACGCGTGTGAGGGAGTGGGGGGGGGGTGGGGGGGGGGGAGATGGGGAGACACGGTTTCACAGGACGAGCAGGACCCTCTCTCCCCCGAGCGAAGGGGACACAAAATAATCCCTCCAAAACCAAAAACAATAATAAAAATTGTTCATTTTCAATCTACGACTGTTTGTGGGACATTGCTGTGCGCAATTGACTGCCGCGTTCGCCCACAAATATAGTCAATTCACTTTACAGTGTGTTCTGTGAAGCGCTTTGGGACGTCCTCCCGACGTGAACAGCGCTATATCAAATGCAAGGATTATTATTATTATTATTATTATTATTATAAGCCGGAGCCACGGTCACAGACTGGGCTGCGAGACTCCACGGGGACTTGGATTTGGCGTCGGACACACAAGGAAACCCAACGCCTGGTTAGGAGTCTCCAAACCCGCGCCTGGGAATGCCATTCCGGGTTACAACTCACGTCGCTGCAGAGCAGAAGGGACGGTTTTCATGCAGTGAATGTCGCCCACTCTCACCCCCACACAGACAAAGATGTGAGCAGACTATCAACCGGTCACTCACTGTGGCCGTGTGAGTGGGTGAGTGTGTCAGGGGGGGTGTGAGGGTGTGTGTCAGGGTGTGTCAGGGGGTGTGTGAGGGGGTGTGTGAGGGGGTGTGTCAGGGTGTGTGTGAGGGTGTGTGTCAGGGGGTGTGAGGGGGTGTGTCAGGGTGTGTGAGGGGGTGTGTCAGGGTGTGTGAGGGGGTGTGTGAGGGGGTGTGTCAGGGGGTGTGTGAGGGTGTGTGTGAGGGTGTGTGAGAGGGTGTGTGAGGGTGTGTGTGAGGGTGTGTGAGGGGGTGTGTGAGGGTGTGTGTGAGGGGGTGTGTGAGGGTGTGTGTGAGGGGGTGTGTCAAGGGTGTGTGAGGGGGTGTGTGAGGGTGTGTGTGAGGGTGTGTGTCAGGGGGTGTGTGAGGGGGTGTGTGAGGGTGTGTGTCAGGGGGTGTGTGAGGGTGTGTGTGAGGGGGTGTGTGAGGGTGTGTGTCAGGGTGTGTGAGGGGTTGTGTCAGGGGGTGTGTGAGGGGGTGTGTCAGGGGGTGTGAGAGTGTGTCAGGGGGTGTGAGAGGGGGTGTGTCAGGGGTGTGTGAGGGGTTGTGTCAGGGGGTGTGTGAGGGGGGTGTGTGAGGGAGTGTGTGAGGGGGTGTATGAGGGGGTGTGTGAGGGGGTGTGTGAGGGGGTGTGTCAGGGTGTGTGAGGGGGTGTGTGAGGGGGTGAGGCAGGAGCTGCTGTTCTCTCCGGGGGCTGTTGGTGGCGCTGTGTTGGCCGCGCGGTGCAGTGTGGGTTGGCGGCGGCCTTGACCCCCGGGGAGAGAAACGGTCAGTCCCGGGGCCCGGGGGGGGGGGGGACCGGGGGGGGAGGACCGGGGGACCGGGGCCCGGGGGGGGGACCGGGGGGGGGGGGGAGGGCGGGGGAGGGGGGACCGGGGACCGGGGGAGGGGGGGACTGGGGGGGGGGGGGGGACCGGGGACTGGGGGGGGGACCGGGGGGGGCGGGGGGGGGGTGGGGGACTGGGGGGACGACGACTGGGGGACACACCGGGGCCCGGGGGGGGGGACCGGGATTGGGAAAGTGGCCTCAGCTCCGTCTGTGTGTGTGTGTGTCTGTGTGTGTGTCTGTGTGTGTCTGTGTGTGTGTGTCTGTGTGTGTGTGTCTGTGTGTGTGTGTGTGTGTGTGTGTGTATCTGTGTGTGTGTGTGTGTGTCTGTGTGTGTGTCTGTGTCGTGTGTGTGTGTGTGTGTGTCTGTGATACAGTAAATCCTGTGAAGTGTTTAGAGACGTTGTTCCGAGGTGTTGAGGCTTTCCCAGTGATTACTGTTGTTGAGGGGCAGTGAGAGGGAGGGGTGTGTGGCCGTGTGTCACTGTGTGTCCGTGTCTGTCAGGGCTGAGATGTGGACGTGGTGATGGACGAGGATGGAAGATGAGGAACCCACCATTAAACCGCGGAGGATCGAGAACCAGAACGTGGTTGACCGCCTGGAGCGACGCCGGATGCACTCGGGCCGGCCCGGTGCTCACTGGTACCTGGTTCGCTGCCTCCACCAGAACATCTTCCCCAACTTCACGGTGGTGAATGTGGAGAAGCCGCCCTGCTTCCTGCGCAAATTCTCCCCCGATGGCCGCTACTTCATCGCGTTCTCGCTGGACCAGACGTCGCTGGAGATCTATGAGTACCAAGGCTGCCAGGCGGCTGAGGACCTGCTGCAGGGTTACCAGGGCGACATGCTGCTGAACGGGGCCAGCGACCTGCAGTCCGTGCACATCCGCAGCAAACTCTTTGAGCGTTTCTTCCTCCTGCTGCACGTGACCAGTGTGGCGGCTAATGGGGAGCACCTGAACCGCGAGTGCAGCCTGTTCACCGACGACTGTCGCTACGTGATAGTGGGCTCGGCTGCCTATCTCCCCGAGGAGCCGCACCCGCTCTTCTTCGAGATGTACCGAAACAACGAGTCCGTCACCCCAAACCCTCGCTCCCCACTGGAGGATTACTCCCTGCACATCATCGACCTGCACACGGGCAGCCTGTGTGACTCCAGGACATTCAAGTGTGACAAGGTGATCCTGTCACACAACCAGGGGCTGTACTTGTACAAGAACATCCTGGCTGTCCTCTCTGTACAGCACCAGACCATCCACGTCTTCCAGGTCACCCCCGAGGGCACCTTCATCGACGTGCGCACAGTCGGCCGCTTCTGCTACGAGGACGACCTGCTGACAGTGTCGGCCGTGTACCCTGAGGCTCAGGGTGACGGGCAGAACCCCACCTCGCGGCCCTTCAAGGAGAAGACGCTGAACTCACTGAAGCACCGGCTGCTGGTGTACCTGTGGCAGAGAGCGGAGCAGGACGGCAGTGCAGCCGCCAAGCGCAGGTTCTTCCAGTACTTTGATCAGCTCCAGCAGCTCCGCATGTGGAAGATGCAGCTTCTCGATGAGAATCACCTGCTTATAAAGTACGCGAGTGAGGATGTGGTCACCCTGCGGGTCACTGACCCCTCCCAGGTACCTCCACACTCCCCCCTAGGTACTCACACCAGCCCCACTAACACACACACCCCCAGGTACTCACACCAGCCCCACTAACACACACACCCCCAGTACTCACACCAGCCCCACTAACACACACGCCCAGGTACTCACACCAGCCCCAGCTGAGTCCTTTGTGTTGCTCAGGTCTGTTTCCCACCCTGTGAGAGGTTTCAATTGTATTGGTGCAGATGTGATGTTTTTAGTGTGTGATTGACTGAGGCCTTTCTGTCTCTCGTCCGCCTTCAGCCCTCGTTCTTTGTGGTGTATAACATGGTGACGACACAGGTCCTCGCTGTGTTTGAGAACACGTGTGATGGGCTATTGCAGTTGTTTGAGAATTTCTGTGACCTGTATCGGAACGCCACGTTGCACAGTGAAGCCGTGCAGTTCCCCTGCTCAGCCTCCAGCAACAACTTTGCTCGACAGATCCAGCGCCGGTGAGTGTCGCCTCCACTGCACGTGACAAACATTCCTTTTCGGCTGGTTTAGGAATCTCTGCCATCCTCCCCTGGCCTGTGTGCTCAATGTCGCTGCTTGTTCACAGGTTTAAAGACACTATTGTAAACGCCAAGTATGGAGGCCACACGGAAGCCGTGAGGCGTCTCCTGGGGCAGCTGCCCATCAGCGCCCAGTCCTACAGCAGCAGCCCCTACCTTGACCTCTCGCTCTTCAGCTACGATGATAAGTGGGTCTCTGTCATGGAAAGACCAAAGACCTGTGGTGACCACCCCATCAGGTAACCTGGGCAAAGAGGTGATGGTTTGCAGTCTGTTATCTGTGTTTAGTAACCGGCTATGTACAGGCTGGTCTGTGTGTAAGATTGGCTTTGGAGACTTGTGCTGAGTTTAGTTTTACGCCTGGTCTCCGGGGAGTGATCTGACTGCAGGCTTCCCCTCTCCCCCCGAATTGGAGGACAAGGCATCTGGTGGGTTTGAGTTTAACGTTGCGCTTTAACCTCTGAAACCTGAGCTCCCCAATCCAGACCGTATGAAGTCTCATCTCTGGTGGCTGTTTCTAACCGGGGCTGGACTCGCATCACAAACATGCTGCCTGTCGGCTATTACATTGGGAAACGTTATCGGGATAAGTGGGGGTTGGTAAGAAATAAAATGGTGCGATAAGGGGCTCTATTCTGTGGTTTGGGTAGAGACATATTGTGGTGAGTGGAGTAAAGGGAGCTTGACTTGACCAGCAATACTTTATCTGGATTCTGTGTCCGATATACAGCACCGACATGAGCAGAAACATTTACCTGCCCCAGAAACTGAAATCAAACTAAAATGGCAACTTCAAAGAGACCTTTAGCAGCTGTTAAAGCAAGTGTCCTCGTGTGATTGAAGGAACCCAATCTTGTGTGAGCTGCTTCAGTAATAATAATAATAATGAGGGTTATGAGCATTGTTGCTGGCTGATATCGAGCAGCATCTCTGTGTTGTGTTGTTGACTGGCTCAGAGGATATAAATGTCGCTGACCTGATTGTGTTCACTGTTTGCTGTAGGTTTTACGCCAGGGATTCCGGGCTCCTGAAGTTTAAGATCCAGGCAGGACTCCTGGGCCGGCCAATCAACCACACAGTCAGGCGTCTTGTGGCTTTCACGTTCCATCCCTTTGAGCCCTTTGCCATCTCGGTCCAGCGAACTAACGCAGAGTACGTGGTCAGCTTCCACATGCGGCACGTCTGTGTGTAGACCCCTGTGCTGCAGCCCCATGAGAACCAAGAAACTCTTTTCAGAAAATACCACAAAGTTGGTGAAATGTGGCAACACTTTGTCAGGGACATTTAATATCTTCACATTAACCTTCACACCTCTTCTGCTGAGTGAGGCAATGCACAAGTGTAGATCATGTGTGATCCTGAAACAGAAACCTGCTGTATGTTGTGTTGGAAATATCTCCATGTAAAGGACTGGCCATTGCATTTCATTTGTGTTGTAACCAGATCAACATTTGGCTATTTTCAAGGGTTAACTGATGAGTAAGAAATGGACACTGCAATAAATCGGCATCATTCCCAGGTTCCCACTTGGAAAACTCATTGTAACCTGGGAATGGGAATGGCTGGGGTGATTCTCCTTCCAGCGTTGACCACTCTGCCTGCTGATGGTGTGACTGTTAACAGCCCTGTCTACTGTATAACTATGATACTGAGTTTCCATTTCATTTGTGACATGAATTATTGTGGAAAGTTTGATTTCATTATGAAGATGTTACAATGGAATTTTTTGACGAATTCTGTGTTGCTGCCTTTTAAATTTTTACAAATTAAATATACCTGGTTTTAAAGTGACTTTTCTGTGGAGGCTGTGAGGCCCAAGCCATTTGACACCCGTTTACGTGTGAATTTATCCCAACTTTGTCATCATTTACATTGTGTCAATCTGGTAATTTATGGGATATATCACATAAGGAGTTTGGGACATATGTGCATGCGACCACCAGGAAGGTGGAAGGCGAACTAGATGGACCTTGGTCTTTTTTCGTCTAGCATTTCTTATGCTCTTGTGTAATTTCGCCCAAATATTGAGATTTTTTCTGTTTTGTCAAGTTCAAAGATCCAAGGAGATGTGTGAAGTGGAAGTGGAGGAGGTGTGTAAGTGTGCGAAGCTGTTTCCTTCTCAGCTAATGGGAGCAGGAAACATGGAACGTGTAACGGGAAAGGCAGTCCAGACACGAGGTGTAGAAGTTGGAGGTGATTGCTGTGTGCAGGACAGTTTGATTAGCATTAGGTAAATCTTTACAAGTACAAAATATACCAACATTTTAAACAAAATAACAAATGTATGTGGTGATGTTGTCCCTGTGAAACGCAGGCTGGAAATGCATTAAGAGCTTGAAGATCAAGTGAATTCTCCAGTGGGTTCACTGGTTGTCTTGTAGAGAACCTTCACCACTTACAGAAACTACTCCAGTGTACCTGAGAAGGACCCGGCTAATGAACTGAAAAAGGCCCTACAATTGGCAGCGAATTGTGATGCTGCATCAAAGGCTGTAGTGCTCTTTGTTGTCTGTCCTCACTTTGTGCTGTTTCCTGTCCTCTGACACATGTGGGCTGAAGGGTCTCTGGTTTGTCAGGATAGTGGAGTAACAAGCAGCGAGGGGCAGCCTCGACCTGTCTGCGAGCAGCTAATTACAATCCTTTCCAAATGAACTGCCATTTATGGCTGAATAACATGCAGTAAATACCATACTGTTCAAAATACAATTGTAGGAATATGAATTGGTTATTTTGCTGTATGAATACTGTTTATAGAACAATGAGGGCTGTGAGTACCCCTCTCAGTACTGTGTGTGTAGGGGGGGATAGAGAGAACAAGACAGAGAGCCTGTGACTGGAGTCTACTGTTACAGCTGTTTTATGGGGGGGCTTCCCATGCCAGAGGGTAACACGAGGTGTGACACAAGGTGTGACACGATGGATTAAATATCAGCAGTTGCACTGAGCACAACAACGTATTTTAACTGATTTGCACTTGTTCTTTAACGACAAGATTGTCAGTAGAGATTACTATAGAATGATAATTAAGTTGGCACTAGATACAAGTACAACAACAACAAGATTGTATTTATAGAGCCCCTTTCACGTCGGGAGGACGTCCCTAAGTACAAAGCCTCATTGTGAGCATCAGCAAGTTTATTCTCGATAATTTAGCAAACATTTAAAAATGAAGAATCAACAATAACTTGCATTTATGCAGCACCTTAACTTGGAACAACGTCTCAGAGGATAGACATTGTGCCAGACACCAATCTGGGAGGGGGGGGGGAAGAGAGATTTTTGAAAAGAGGGGTTGAGGGAGGCAGTTCTAGAAAGTGAACCGGCTGAGGCCACGGCTGTTGATGATGGGGAATGCGCAGTGGCCTGAGTTTGCTGAGCAGAAGAACAAAGCTAGAGATTACAGAGTGGGTGGGTGGGGGGGGGGGGGTGCGAGGGCGTGGGCAGATTTGTATGTGAGGGTGAGAATCCGGTGCAGCAAATAACATTTCAGACTGAAAGATAATTTATTGTAAATTTAAAATAACGCAGTCAGGAAAATAGCACGATACACTGCTGTAGAACAGACACAATTCATTTAGTTTAATCTCCTGTGAAGTGTTCAGAATCTGGCTGTATCAGTGGTGCATCTGAACTAATATTTATTGGGTAATGTTGGGAGGTTAACTGGCCACCCTGCTGTCCCCCACCTCACTGAAATGGCAACTAATCTCTTTTATTATGGAAATCAGTGGCTGATACTGATTTAGAATGTGTGAGTAATGTCCATTAATGACTTTTATCGGTGCAGGTTTTGCAGTATGTTTGGAGTTTACTGGACTGTATTAAATCTTGGCACTCGTCGGGATAATGCTCCAATTAAAATGAAAGGTATTTTGATGAAAAATAATCAACGCGTGAACGAATTAGAAGGATGCTGATTTAGCTGGCTGTATTGTTTATACCACACTGAGAAAGGGACTAGACATCAGCACATCACAGGCACACACACGCCACAGGCGAGTGGGGACTCTACAAGCAAATGTACACTAACCTGATTTTAACCCTCGTCATTTGAAACCGGCATCACTTGTCACATTTTACTCTTCATTCTCAGTAAGATCTGAAAGGGAACTGTCCTCGGAAGCCACATAAAGACTGTAGGATTTGCTCTGAGATGAGAGAGCTCATTGGTATCCCTCTAAAACCACTCGCTCTCTGTCTTCAAAACCTTCCAAAAAACCTCACTTTCACTTGACCTTTGGTCAGCCACATCCTTAAATGTCCCATTTCCTGCTCACTCACTACTAGACTTGTCACGCAGTTTGAGATGTTCGGTGTGAAAGGCGCTACATTAATAGATGCTGTACCCAGTAGACAGTCAGGTTTTATTGTTGTGTACACTCTGAGACAGATTTACACGGGAACGTTAGAGCAGAAGCCGCTGTCTCTGTGTGACGTAGTCAGTGTTTAGCTGAGGGGGTGAGGAACCGCCTCACATCCTGCGGACCTTGCGTGGTCGACAGCCGTTGTGAGGTATGGGAGTGTTGTCTGTGATTGAAACAACCTGCAGGCCACCCATCGCAAGACCTTTGATGGCAGACTGCAACAGAAAACAAACCAAGACAAAGCACAATGATGCTGATCGTATAAAATCATGCTTTCACAATGCCAGCAGCAGCGGCTACGCAATCAAACACAAGTAGGTCAGATACTCGTTCCAATCTTCTCCCCACAGCCAGAGTACCCACTACCCCTCAATGCCCAGCTCCACATGTGGGTGAGGACCAGAGAGCATTCAGACTCACAGCTTCAACTCTCCTGAGCCTCACTCACTCACTCACTGTGGGCCGATATCTAACTGTTATGTGGTTTCCATTGAAACTCAGCAGCGCACCAGTTGCAGATTAACCCGTACAAACTAACTGAGCACCAGAAAAGCTTAGTGCTGAAAAAACAATCAATAACCCAGAATAAAACAAAGATTGTAAGAAACACAAGAATCTAAGTTTGATTTGGCGAAACGTTCAGTGCGCCGAGTCGCTACCCCGCGTGAAGGTCCGGTGTAAATACAAGTTTGTGATCTGTAGTCATGTCATTGCTCAACTTTAACTGAAGTCAATATCATCCAATCAGATCACAAGCGCCACAGAAACTGTTCTCATTGTTGAGCATTGCTCAGTGGTGTAGACACAGGGCCACGTGGGAACCACACAATGCACCATATTCAGCCGATGAGATCCAAAGGCTGTTGCTGCAGCAGCAACTAAACCAAACCTGCAGCCAGGAGGGGACCAGCCCTGGTCAATAACTCACCGTCCGGCCGGGGCCCAGCCCCTTCACCTGCACTCGCACAAAGGAAACACCTTTAACAGCAGCTTTCTGTGGACAAACAGAAAGAGAAATCATTTTATTCCAATGTTTCTGTGTGTTCGCTCTTTCATCTCCCCTCCTCACCAGGATTGCTGCTGTATTATTACAAACATCTGCCACCTTTTGATCAGCAGCGAGAGCCTCAGCAACATCTAATCACACTGCCTGTTAGCCATGCATGTTCCCTGTACCAGGGCAATGCCATCCTCTGCTGGTCACTGCCGTGTACAACTCACATCAAACTGACCACGACTACTGAAAATACAGACAAACCTGTTCAGGCCACCACCCTCACACACACAAACCCTTACTCAGATGCCACTCTTATATCAAGGCCACTTTGCCCAGTCCCCTAGAGACAGGTTTGGCCGTATTGCTGCAAAAACATCCAGGAGGATGAGCAGCAAATGTAATGAATTTCAACTGAAATGTGTGAGACACGTGTTTGCCACTAACAGACAGGCAGCTGCTGTGAACGTCAGAATCAGCTGTGTCTTCATTACAGGGGAGAGCTGCTACGTAACCTAAACAGGTGACGTTACTGTAGAGGCCTGATGGGATCATAGAGCCCGACAACAGTCTAACCTTTAGCCTAAAGGCAAAGCACTGGCTTCCATTCACGTGAGGAGCTGGTGCAGGGTAGGCTGCCTGGTGTATAACTGCCAAAAGCAAACTGCAAACAGTTAATCTTGAGCTCTGTAGAAAGCTCATAAATCACTGAGATCAAACAGTGTCCGAGGAAAGCACAGCATTTCTCCCAGTGAAGCAGGCTCCAATTACCCAAGACACAGGGTGAGAGGAGTCCAGGGGTGAGTGGGCAAAAGATAAATGGGATGAAATTCTGAATGAAGGGGTAAAGCATCAGTTATAGGTGTCAGCCTGGCTCAGTTGGCAGCTCTCTCATGTCTCAGTCAGGAGGTTGTGGGCTTAAGCTCCACTGGAGGCCATTGTTGGAGGTGCTGTTCTTCAGATGAAATGTTAAACTGAGCTGCCTGTCTGTGCCTGTTCAGGTGGATGTTAAAGATCCCATGGCACGATTCAAAAGAAGAATAGAACTTCTCCTGGTGTCCTGGCCAACAATCCCCCAAATAAAATTGGTGACTGGTTGTTGGACATTGCAGTGAGCAAATTGGTTGTCATGTTCCCCTGTAAAATACAGTCTATAAAATGCATTTTACAGTCAATTCTATGAGATGACTCGATAAAGTGAAAAGGCACTAGACCAAATACAAGGATGATTATTATTATTATAGTACAAGAGGAGCCGACGCACAAATTTCTCTCACACAAATTTGGCAATGAATATTAAGGAAATATGATGATTAATTAGTGATGCGGAGCCAACCTCTTATTGATCACCTTAGCTGAATGTTGAGTTGAGAATCTTTTGGGTGTGTGGCTCAGTATTATCCCAGCTCCGACTTTACCAACCGAATCGTAGAGAGAACCCTATGCACTGGTTAGTGCTCTGAGAACAGTTAACACACCATAGTAATAATCCCTTCATAAAATAATAATTTGCTCACTCAGTCCACAACTGTTTTTGGGACACTGCTGTGCGCAATTCGCCCCAAAAATATACATTCAATTCAATTGACAGCGTATCCTGTGAAGCGCTTTGAGACATCTTGAAGACATTATAAGGCGCTATATCAAATGCAAGAATTATTATTATCAACATGCGCAGAGAGATAGCCAGACTGTAAGCTAGGGTGTGAGTGAGTGAGTGAGTGAGTAGGTGAGTGAGCGAGCGAGCGAGGGCAGCACAGAAACAACTAGCCGAGAGGACACTGTGGCTTAGATGGGAATATTTATGTTTTGAGGGTATGATTTTTAACTTTCAATGAATTAAAGGCACTGCAGGGGCTGACAGCCAGTGTTACCAGCAAGTCAGTGTCACAATCAGTGTTTCAGGCCATTTATTAATAACCAGAATTGGTGCTGTGGCCACACTACAGCTGATGAAGTGGTTAATGCTGAGTTTATGACTGAAAATTTATGACTTGTGGGTAAAATGTTGAAAGCAGCAAGATAAATATTATGGATGTTGCAGCAAGTGTGAGCGGCTGCCAGTGAATGATGAGCATCATGGGCAGTGCAATGAAAAGCAACTGCTTCATTGCAATCAAACCTACAACTGCAAGAACAGCATCAAACCAACAGAATACAGGGAAGACCATTCACCCCATTCCTGCTCACATCAACACCCAGGCCCAATTCAGGACCTGATCTGACAATAATTACGTAGTTACAGAAGATACCATTTAAGCCAACAGGTCTGTGCTGGTGCTCGCTCCCCACTGGAGCTCTCTCATATTTCTTCTTTTCCTGTAAGTTTTATATTATTTTCCTCCAAGTATCTTTACAATCCTTTTAACTGTTGTTGTGGACTTGGTTTTGGTGGCCATTTGTGCACTGACATTCAGTCCTCTCACAACCCTCTGGGTGAGAATTTCTCGTAACCTTTCTTTATGGTGATGATCCCCAATTGATGCCCTTGTGTAACCGATAATCAACAGAAATCTTTACTTTTTACCTGATTCCAATCAAAGGAAAGATGATTTAGAATTTAGATAACTACCAAAAGATCTCACTTTAGCTCTCTGCTGAGCAAGAACGCAGCCTGCTCATTTTAATATTAATCCTTAATTTGATAGAATACTTGTCACGGCAAGCGAATGTCTCAAAACGCTTCACAGCAAACGGAGACCAAGCTGGCCATTCTTTGACCTGACGTTAGAGAGACATTTACTATGGGAACAAAGGCTCAGTACCACTGCTGCTGAGATGCCGGCCGTCTGGGCTGCGATCGGGGTGCCTTTCTTCGCATTCTTGAAGCCCTCCGTTCCACAGGAAGTGCGCACCACATACTCCCCTTGGTGGCTCGTCACCTGGATGTGGGTGCTGGGAGACAGGGAAGAGTTTAGATGTCAGGAGTCACAACACAGCTATACGTCCGTCTGCTCATGTATTCAGACGCGGCTTACTTGTTATACGTTGCTTTGACGTGGGCTATGGGCAGCTCTTCGTACTTTCTGCCACCCCAGCGCAGAGGGCTGTCCTCACCCGGCATTGGGGGCAGAATACTGTAACACACACAGGCACAAAGTGTCTCAGCGCAAACAATCTGGAGACGAGAAAGCCACTTATTCATCAACAACATTCAGTGGATTTGCGCTGCAGGTTCCGCTGAGTTTGATTATTTGCTGTGTGTGAAGGATCACCTGAAGCCGGGAGCCGTTGCTGTGGGTTCAGGCTGTGAGGAGCTGCCATCTCTCCCTGTGTCCTCCTGCCACCTGTGCGAGCTGGTCAGCACTGGGCGGCCATGGGCCACGGCTCTGTGAGGGGCAGAGAGAGATCAGCGAGTAATTGCCCACCGTCACCCCCATAACCCCCCCCCCCCCGACACTCCCCGCGGTGATGCCCCCCCGGAATAATAATAATAATCCTCGCATTTGATATAGCGCTTTTCATGTTGGGAGGACGTCCCAAAGCGCTTCACAGAACACACTGTAAAGTGAATTGACTGTATATCTGTGGGCGAACGCGGCAGCCAATTGCGCACAGCAATGTCCCACAAACAGTCGCAGATTGAAAATGACCAATTTATTATTGTTTTTGGTTTTGGAGGGATTATTATTAGGCTCTGTGTGGAGTAAGGAAACTTGCCCGAGGTTTCGCCCTGACTGACCCCCCGGGGATTGAACTCAGGTCTCTCACTCGCAAAGCGAGTGCTCTAACCACTGAGCTACAGGACTCCACACAGACTACAGACCCGTCACTCCCCAGTGACCCCCCACACGTCTTCGCATTTATCCCCTCACAGTAAACCCTCATTCACCTCTCAATTAATACTCAATTAATACACCTCTCCCCCCACCGCCTGTCCCCCCCCCACCGCCCCCCCCCCCCACCGCCTGTCCCCCCCCCCCCCCTCACCGCCTGTCCCCCCTCACCGCCTGTCCCCCCCCCCCCCCGCTGCCACTGATACACAAGACACCGGTAATAAGGCCCCGTTTCAGTGTCAGGCCGCACTGATCCCCGCCCCCGCCCCCCCCCGGGCCCCCCCCGCCCCCCCCGGGCCGCACTGACCTGGAGGCCGGGATGAAGCGGCCACACAATCCCCGCAACATGGCGCCGCTCCCCCCCCCCCTCCCCGCGGCTGTGGGCGGGGCCGAGGGCGGGGCCGAGGGCGGGAGGGCCCCACAGTCCGCGCGGCGCGGGGGGGGAGGGGGGGACATGGCGGCGCGGAGACTGGCGGCCGCGGGGCTCGCGCTGGCGGTGCGGCCCGTGTCCGGGGGCCCGGGGCCCGGGGGCGGGGGCGGGGGGGGGGGCGGCCGCTGGCGGCTGCTCGGGGCCGTTTGTCTGCAGAGAAGCGCCGCAGTCTCCCGGACACCGAACCCCAGAGAGACCGAAGTCACACACTTACTGCAGCAGGTGAGCGGCCTCGGCTCGGCTCGGGGCTACAGCCACAGCCACGGCCTCGGCCTCGGCCTCGGCCACGGCCACAGCCTCAGCCTCGGCCTCGGCCTCGGCCTCGGGTACAGCCTCAGCCACAGCCTCAGCCTCAGGCCGCGCCGGGGCCTCGGGTCAGTGTCAGTGTGAGGAGAATTCACTGAACTTACCCGTTGGTTGTAAGTGTGTAAGTGTGATCGGGTGTAAGTGTGATCGGGTGTAAGTGTGATCGGGTGTAAGTGTGATCGGGTGTAAGTGTGATCGGGGTGTAAGTGTGATCGGGTGTAAGTGTGATCGGGTGTAAGTGTGATCGGGTGTAAGTGTGATCGGGTGTAAGTGTGATCGGGTGTAAGTGTGATCGGGTGTAAGTGTGGTCGGGGTGTAAGTGTGATCGGGTGTAAGTGTGATCGGGTGTAAGTGTGATCGGGTGTAAGTGTGATCGGGTGTAAGTGTGATCGGGGTGTAAGTGTGATCGGGTGTAAGTGTGATCGGGGTGTAAGTGTGATCGGGTGTAAGTGTGATCGGGGTGTAAGTGTGATCGGGGTGTAAGTGTGATCGGGTGTAAGTGTGGTCGGGTGTAAGTGTGGTCGGGTGTAAGTGTGATCGGGGTGTAAGTGTGATCGGGGTGTAAGTGTGATCGGGTGTAAGTGTGATCGGGTACAAGTGCGGTTCTCTGCTTCACAGATGGAACAAGAGAAAAGTCTGTATTCTGACCACGAGCTTCGAGTGTTCGAGGACGAGGAGAGAGTGCGGCGGAGATTGGCTGATGATTACGACTCAGACGAGGAGGAAGTGGTGGGGCAGGAGATCGTGTCTGCCCAGGACCTGGAGGACTCCTGGGACCAGAAGCTAAAGAAGTTCAGCCCCGCCAAGCGGGTACAAGGTTCATTACTCACTTGATGGCTGTCAGTCAAATTGGGATCAAATTGGTTGCCGTGTTTGTCCACATATACGCAGCCGCTAAACTTGTGAAGTACTTTGACATTTACGTTGTGGACACTATACCAAATGCAAGGATTACTCGTATAGTCCAAGGATTACTCGTATAGTCCAAGGATTACTCGTATAGTCCAAGGATTACTCGTGTAGTCCAAGGATTACTCGTATAGTCCAAGGATTACTCGTATAGTCCAAGGATTACTCGTATAGTCCAAGGATTACTCGTATAGTCCAAGGATTACTCGTATAGTCCAAGGATTACTCGTATAGTCCAAGGATTACTCGTATAGTCCAAGGATTACTCGTGTAGTCCAAGGATTACTCGTGTAGTCCAAGGATTACTCGTTTAGTCCAAGGATTACTCGTATAGTCCAAGGATTACTCGTATAGTCCAAGGATTACTCGTATAGTCCAAGGATTACTCGTATAGTCCAAGGATTACTCGTGTAGTCCAAGGATTACTCGTATAGTCCAAGGATTACTCGTATAGTCCAAGCATTACTCGTATAGTCCAAGCATTACTCGTATAGTCCAAGGATTACTTGTTTGGTCCAAGGATTGCTCGTATAGTCCAACTCTACCTTTCCTCCTCTATCCTCAACTCCACGACCCCCGATGTCCTGACAGCTGTCTGTCCGACATCGAGTACTGGACGAGAGACAACTTTCTTCAGCTCAATGTACGCAAAACTGAGGCCCTCCTGATTGGCTCACGTCAGCGCCTCCGCACCTCAGGCGCTGACAGCATCAGCATCCAAGGCTGCACTCTCCACCTCTCAAGGCCGGTCAGGAACCTCGGGGTTCTGTTCGACCCTGAGCTGTCCTTTCTTCCTCATATCCGCACCACAACTGGCACCGCCTTCCATCACCTCTGAAACATCGCCAGACTACGGTACTACCTCACCCCTCACGCGGTTGAAACTGGTCCACACCTTTATCACCTCAAGGCTGGACTATGGGAACTCTCTCCTCGTCGGCCTTCCCGCCACCTCCCTCCACACTGCAGGTCATTCAGAACTCTGCAGCTCGTGTACTGTTCCGCACCAGACACCGCGACCACATCACTCCCACCCTCGCTCGCCTCCACTGGCTCCCCATCCCCCAGAGGATCGAATTCAAGATCCTCATCCTCACCTACAAGGCCATTCATGGCCTTGCTCCCTCCTACCTCTGTGACCTACTATCCCCCTACCTACCTGCCCGTACCCTCCATTCCTCTAGCTCCGGTCTGCTCCACATCCCCCGCCCCAACCGCCCTACCATTGGTGGTCGGGCCTTCAGCCTCTCAGCCCCGAGGCTCTGGAACTCTATCCCCCAGTGCGTTCGCATTGCCTCCTCCCTTTCCTCCTTCAAGGCCGGTCTCAAGACCTTTCTCTTTGACCGTGCCTTCAGCTCCCCTTTCGACTCTCTACCCCCTCCTCGCTCCCTCCCTTCCCTCCCCTCACATTGACCATTTCCCCCTTGCTCGGGTCCTGACCCAACTGTCCAGCACCTTGGGACATCCTCCCGACTTGAAAGGCGCTCTATAAATGGAATCTTGTTGTTGTTGTTGTATACCGGTACCTAGTAACCGTCTCACCCTCTGTGCTGTAGATGCGGACAGGGAGAATGATCGTCTGTCACTGAACAGGAAACTTGAAGACAAGCTGATATTACTGGTGAAGGAGAGGCTTGGGGATGAGGAGCTGTGGCTGTTGCCCCAGGGGGAATGGAAGCCCTGGGAAAGCCTGCGGAGAACGGCAGAGCGTACCCTGTCAGCACTGTCAGGTGAGGCTATCAGATGGGGAAGACACAGAGGCACAGGTTGGAGGAAAGATTTTCACATTAAGATAGAAAACTATATCTGCCAAATCAATCAAGTGATTGAAGAAAGATATTTGGGAGGTAGGAATATTAACAGAGGTGACAGGAGGGAGGAGGTGACCTGGAATGGGCTGTGGGAGCGCTCTGGGACCTACCCTGTGTGATGGAGCGATATAAATGCAAGCTATTGGTGGTGGTGGAGTGGGTTTGATGGACCAAATGCTCCTGTTCCCGGCTTCCCATTAATCCTGTGTAAAAACAAGTGATTCCAGTGCACGTGTGTCATTCGATTTCTAAATCAGTCATTGGCTGGTGTTTGTCCCGGGGTAAATATTCCAGTTAATTTTAGCTTCTCTGTCTTTCTGCAGGAGACAAACTGAGGGCATGTTTTCTGGGCAAAGCCCCCAGTGGCTTGTATAAATATCGCTATCCCATCACACTGCGCTCCTCTGGCTATGAGGGAGCCAAGGTTTTCTTCTTTAAAGCAATGCTGACAAATGGAGACCTGCAAACGGACGTCAAGGACCACGTGTGGGTGACGAAGAGTGAGCTACAGCACTATCTCAAACCACAATACTTGAAGCAACTCAACCGCTTTGTCTTTGACTTCTGAGGAACATTGAATATGAATACTTAATTAGTAAAAATAAATACGTTTGCCCATTTCATTTACATGTCCAATGTTTCGCTTTTCCCCACAATGTCTCCCAATTCATTGCTTTACTATTCAGTGATCTCCCATTATGGGAAGCGAGTATATGATGACAACAGCAACAACTTCAGGCGGGATAGTGTCCAGTGACACTAACCAAACAATAACCAAACAAAACAATTGTCATTTGTGATTAACAAACACTGTCCCAACTGCCACCAGAGACCCCTCCCCTGGTCACTGCGGAGCAGTGTCACCCTGTGGCTGTGAGCGGACAGGTGCAATCACTGTACATCAGACAGTAGCTGCCTGTGTACATTAGACAGTAGCTGCCTGTGTACGTTAGGCAGTAGCAGTCTGTACGTTAGACAGCAGCAGCCTGTGTACGTTAGGCAGTAGCAGCCTGTGTACGTTAGGCAGTAGCTGCCTGTGTACAGTAGACACTAACAGCCTGTGTACGTTAGGCAGTAGCAGCCTGTGTACGTTAGGCAGTAGCTGCCTGTGTACAGTAGACACTAACAGCCTGTGTACGTTAGACGGTAGCAGCCTGTGTACGTTAGGCAGTAGCTGCCTGTGTACGTTAGGCAGTAGCTGCCTGTGTACGTTAGGCAGTAGCTGCCTGTGTACATTAGGCAGTAGCAGCCTGTGTACGTTAGGCAGTAGCTGCCTGTGTACATTAGGCAGTAGCAGCCTGTGTACGTTAGGCAGTAGCTGCCTGTGTACGTTAGGCAGTAGCTGCCTGTGTACATTAGACAGTAGCTGCCTGTGTACATTAGGCAGTAGCTGCCTGTGTACATTAGACAGTAGCTGCCTGTGTACGTTAGGGAGTAGCTGCCTGTGTACGTTAGACAGTAACAGCCTGTGTACACAATGTGCAGTTCCAGCACTTTTTAACATTAGTTGGATGAGTTGAGCAGATATTTCACTACTTGCAATAACTCCACGGCCTCCTTTCTCTGTAACCGGCTGCTGGAAAGGCAGACTCCACATCATTAGTAAACTAATCACCCTGTGAATTCCTGGCTGGTGGCACGGCAGGCTGCTGTGGGCTCGGAGATTAACGAATACTGCAGTCGTGGTTACATGTGCAGGAACCTTTAGTTAAGTGCAGCTTAAGCACCCAATGTTCTCACTGAGCGGCTGCTTCAATGCAGTGACTGATCCTCAATGAGCAGAATCCTGACCCCAGCAGAGTGTGCAATCCTGTCTGAACTCCAATTGGCATTTATATAGCAATAACAACAACAAACTACATTTATATGGCAATAACAACAAATTACATTTATATGGAACCTTTCAGGTAAGGTAAAATAAACATCTCAAAGTGCTTTACAGACTGAAATCAATTAGAAATGTTCTGAAAAGCAAAGTGACAGCTAATTTGTGCCAGGCCAGGAAAGGCTGCAGAGATGTGATGAGGATAGAAGCATGTGTTACACAGAGACAGCACAGGTCAAGACGTGGAGAGGGAGAGAACTCTATTCCCGGATAGATGTTTGTTAGGTCAGGATATCAAGGGATATGGGGTAACGGCGGGTAATTGGAGTTGAGATACAGATCAGCCATGATCTTATAGAATGTCAGAACAGGATCGAGGGGCTGAATGGCCTGCTGCGGTACTGATGTTGCTAAGTTCCTGGATGTGACTGAGTGAATACCATGCTGAGCTACATCAAAACCCGAGTGACTAAACTGCGAGGCTGCTTATCACCCAGGAACCTGGAACCTGAGGGTGAAATATTCAGTTTGGGTGAATGTGCTGTCAGGGAAACTGCGTTCAGCTGATTATATGTTCCGGTGTGTTACTAGTGATTTCTCTCCTTATTGTGGCTCTGCTTCTTCTCCCTGACAGAGAGAGAGAGAGAGACAGAGAGAGGGCAGGTGAAGTGCAGGCAGCTCCAATCCAATTCATCAAAATGTGATTGAATTTTACGTGGGGTATCAGGATTGCAAGCCAGGTTAGGTGGGCCTCAAATCCTTTTTGGTTCTTGACAAGCTCAGGGAAGCAGTAATGTAGAGCTAGGGAGGGTGAAGAAGCTTTTACTGATCCACAATGAGTGACAGTAACTGATACAGCCAGCTTACTATGTGTTACAATGGATCAGATGGAGCAGAGGGTGCCATTAACAGGAGTTACACCATCAGCTTACAACATCCCTGGTTCTGGGTCATGGAGAACGTGTGTCCCCTCTAATAGTTCTATACGGTGAAAGTGGGAAAACATTATAATCCATTGACCAGGAGAGCAGGTATCGAGAGAAACAAGCACACCAAATGAACGGTCTCTACTGAACAAACTATTCACTTGCTAATTCCTTTTCTAATTAAATTTAAATTATCTTCAGCTCATAAACACTCAACTTCTTGACATCTTAATTCATAATTCATGCCGCGTCATGGGTTATAACTGATGTGGCAGTCATTATGTGCTACATTATCACTGCGGAGGGAGTATTATTCAGACCACCCACGGATGTGTGTATGAATTCTATTGATCTGCTCATAGGTTCCATGTAGAAAAGCCTGGGTTAAGGTGTGGAACACAGCAGAACAGATGGGGAAATTAAATGTGTTAACTCATGGAGTCAATCTGCAAGACAAACCTCATCCATTGCATCCTCTGTGTAATGCAGTCCACGAGTTCTCTTGCACTTCAACACATCACAGTCCATTAAACTGCCTCTGGAATGTGCTAAGTGCAAAGCATTCCCTTGCTGACAGAACAGTTCAGCTACTGTAACGCATTGTGCATTCAGCTGTTTGCTGCACCGTCCAGATCCCTCTGTAATACATGGAGTTCACATGTGTGAGTATTCAGATGCATTGCTATGCAATCAGCTGTCCTTCCAAATGTCCAAAAGCGACTGAGCCAATCCAGAGCCTGGCAGATTCAGTAAAGGATTTGAGGCTTATCCTTTTAATAATATGCTATATTTTATATTTTACGGTGCGTTTTATTCTACAAAATGCTGTTCAGTTGCACTGCTCCCCATGGATAGAATGCTCCAATACTGCACAGAACGCTCTTAAATAAACGTCCTTACAGCACAGCCCTTCGACAGGATGGAAGAAGGAAACATTCTGAACTAACAATCAGTCAGTTACCTGGAGTAACGCAGTTTGACTCTGCTTCACGTAATCATTGAAGCCAAGTGCTGGAATCTCACAGTCACTCCAAGACCGGGTGAAAGAAAACAACAGCTGTATTTCAGCCCGAAGGATAGAATAATATTCCCACCACTGGAATTTGTTACAGCACCTACAAAATCTAAACATTTTCAAAGCACTTTACAGGTAACTGATGACATGTGTGTATGTAGACATATATGGCAATCATTTTGTGCGCATCAAAACCCCACAAACACATGTGAAATGAATTGGCTTATAATCTGCTTGGCGTATAAATTAATTTTAATGCTGGCCAGGACACTATCCTCCTGGCTGGCGGGTAAGCGGGATCTCAAGGCAATGGGATAATGGATTCCAGTCGATCCTCTCGAGTGGTCTCGGTTGTCTGGCACCTGAGACAGATGGAGCTGCAGTATTCCAGGGCACTGCTGATGAGGACCAGCCAAACAGGCTGTTTACTAGGATTTGGAGGCCAGAAGTCACTGTGGGCAGGGATTGCTTCCACTCGGCTCCTGTTAATGCTTCAAGCACAGACCTAAAGGGCAGTTTGCCCATTGCAACCAAAGGAATTCCGTGTACACAACAGGTGTGGGTGGAAGGCAATGGACCTATCAATCTGATTTGGAGACTCTTAAATATGGGTGAGAGCTTTCACATGTATCAGACATCCGGCTGACCCCCAAAAATGTGGAGCTCGAACCAACAACCTTCTGACCCAGACGCGAGAGTTCTTCTAACTAATCCAAGCTGATATCTAAAACATGGGAAGAGACCTACTCTGCTTATGTCTCTGTTTGCATGGAAGCTGTTGGCCAATAAACATTTTGAGAGAATCAATCTCCACAGAAGGAACATCTGGTAGATTCGGTAATTAAATCGACAGAATGCTCAGTGTGACTAAATACCTGGCATAACTAATCTAATCATGATTTGAAAATGTTCCCTAGGATGCTGAATGTGAGGCAATATGTGCCTTTTCAACAGATGGATGTTGAGAGATTCTTTCTTTAACAGTGAAGAAAATCAGATTGGAAGATAACAACAACAACAACAACAACAAGATTCCATTTATTGAGCGCCTTTCACGTCGGGAGGACGTCCCAAGGCGCTGTACAGTTGGGTCAGGACCCGAGCAGGGGGGAAATGGTCAGGGTGAGGGGAGGGAAGGGAGGGAGCGAGGAGGGGGTAGAGAGTCGAGAGGGGAGCTGAAGGCTCGGTCAAAGAGAAAGGTCTTGAGACCTTGAGGTGCCTCACATTGTCTGCCTGAACCAAAGCTTAGAACCTTTGCTACTAAACATCAGGCTTGAGTCACTGTGCACCACCCTCTGGAATTCTCTCCCTCTACTCCTCCATCTCACTCCCTCGCTGTCTGTCCAGGAATCACATAAAAACCTACCTTTTCAACCCTGAGCGTGGTCACCTCCCCCCACCTGTTTGGTGTCCAGCACCAACTCTGTGAAGCTCTGAGACGTTACTCTATGCTATACAAATGTAAGTTGTTGTGGCTCACTATCCCACTGGGGCTATCTCATCTAATCCCATCCCTCTCCTCTTTTCCAAACCATTTCTTATCTTCATTCTTCAAGTATTTGTCTAATCCTTTTCAAATGCCGTAATTGGTTAGAACGTATAACACACAAGGGAACCATCAGGATGCCTTTCAAACATTAAACACATGAAAATAATTTTGATTCAGTATTAACATTGTCTTATTTTATTGATTTTGTAACAATGGTGTCTAATTTGCTGTATTTCCTATTAGGATTGCTTAATAACAGATGCCAAGTCATGTAAATGAGAACATCTTCTGGTAATTAACAACAACAAAATACAGCAACAACAACAAAATTAAATTTGTATAGCACCTTTCACGTCGAGAGGATGTCC